TAATTCTGCGCCATGTTTCTCAAACTACCATCGTGACCCCTACACCCTTTGTGCTCCATGTCCTCTGTCCTAGTGACCCAAGCGTGCTGAAAGCCTAAACAGAATCCATATACTCAAACAGCTCACGCGCACATATGTATACAATACGGACTTCAAGGCAGCGGGCTGGGTTATAGGGAGCATTGGTATGTGTCTTCCAGCCTCATGTTCTACGGGCGAAGTGTGGGGCGTCTCATGGAGCTGAAAGCTTCCCAAAAATGGAAGCTATCCAAGCAAGTTCTCCACCGTCGCCTTCAGTAGTGGGGTGGTTGTGGTGGTGGTTGTTGTAATAGGAGTAGGAGCGGGAGAACTAGGAGTAGCAGAGCAGCAGCAGCAGCAGCAGCAGTAGCAGTACCAAGTAGCACGTAGCAGCAGGAGCAGGAGCAGGAGCAGGAGCAGGACTAGGAGGAGTAGTCGTCGTAGTCGTAGTCGTAGTCGCAGTCGCAGTCGTAGTAGTAGTAGTAGTAGTAGTAGTAGTAGTCGTCGTCGTCGTAGTGGTAGTGGTAGTGGTAGTGGTAGTGGTAGTGGTAGTGGTAGTGGTAGTGGTAGTGGTAGTGGTAGTGGTAGTGGTAGTGGTAGTGGTAGTGGTAGTGGTAGTGGTAGTGGTAGTGGTAGTGGTAGTGGTAGGGGTAGTGGTAGTGGTAGTGGTAGTGGTAGTGGTAGTAGTAGTAGTAGTAGTAGTAGTAGTAGTAGTAGTAGTAGTAGTAGTAGTAGTAGTAGTAGTAGTAGTAGTAGTTATAGTAGTAGTAGTAGTAGTAGTAGTAGTAGTAGTAGTAGTAGTAGTAGTAGTAGTAGTAGTAGTAGTACTAGTAGTAGTACTAGTAGTAGTACTAGTAATAGTAGTAGTAGTAGTAGTAGTAGCAGCAGCAGCATTACAGTGTGAAATTTCGTGATGCCACATGATGGCACCATGCTGGCCTTCTCTGACGGGTATGGCATTGAATTGCAGCCTTGGCATCATACCTCAGGATTTCCGGCTTCAAGGCCTGAAGACAATGTGAGTTCCTGGACAGCCTAGCTGGGGCTTCCAGCCGTGTACGATCTTTGAACAGGCAAGCACGGGGAAACTTTGGGCTTAGGGGACAGCTTTAGGAGCTTGCATGGGCTCTGTTCCTTCCGATCTGGCTCCGCCGATGGTCAACTCTTTCTGCGATGACGCTAGCAACTGCGCACACCCCTGCCGCCATGATTATCGTAGAAGTATTGCGAAGTACATCCACATAGCCTTCCACTTCTCTTGCAGGCAAACCTTGTATCCCCAACTCCGGCTTCGATCTTGCTTAATGGTCTAGGGTTCCATGTTTCGAAGCTTTAAGACTGAAACACTCTCAAGCACAAAATCCGACAAAGACAGACAGGTTAGCGACCATTCCAGCGAAGTGGCTCGCTGGTGTCGTGGCTGCCAAACCAGGCCTCTGCCTTGAACCGGTAGCTCAGATACACACACGGATCTCTTAGAGCTCCGCCTTTGTTACAGGTGTTCACGCGACTTTTTATGCGGACGTACATAAGTATGGTTAGAACAAGGACTTGCGGTGCGTTAGACTACGATGGTTTCATGTCTCGTGCGCAGGATTCATGCTTGGTAAAGGCCATGCCCGAGTCTGACAAGACTTAGGATCTCAGTTTGAGCCTCGGGGCGTGTGGCGAGATTCAACGAAACCAAACGAAACCAGCGATGGCCTTTTCCAGTATCACACTCCATCATCATCAGCATCTTCATCACCATCACCCGTTTCATCAAAACCAGTCACTATCAACAAGAAGACAAGAACCACGATGCCATTAAATCAGTAAGATGACTACGCACAACCAAAGTCTTCCCAAGGTTGATCGGACAGTCCTAACCCCTAAGCCGGCAATCTATGCGTGCATGGTTGCGGCTCTGTGGAGATGATGATGCGGCAATCTATGCATCTGAATATTTAGCGTATGCGGATGGTTGTAGTATACGAAAGCTATAAACAATATGTGGAATAATAGCCTTTTTGAAGTTTTGGGTCATCATTTTACCTATTTGGGGGGGCTTTGGGTACGGGTAGTATTACAAGTTCCACAGGCTTCTATAGGGTTTATAGAAATTGTTAAGGGTTTGGGTGCCAAAAAGGTCTTGGCTCTTGACCGAACGTTTTGACCGAAACGTTTGGACAGGTTTTCTTACTGAGACCTGACTTTGGAATGAGCGGAAAGGGGCTGGAGCTGGGTAACTCTACACACCAGTTGTCTTGAACCCTAAACCCTTTTCAGTCACATCCGCTACGAATCATCAGAACCGTGACCTTTTTGTTTTGTGGACGGGATTCATAGGGTTGATAGAAATTGCTGAAGGTTTGGGCGCCAATAAGTTTTGAGCGAACGGTTTCAGCAGGTTTCCTTGTTGAACTTGGTTTTGAGCTGATGAGCCGGGCTGGGATCTGGGGCGGGGTTTTCCGTTAAGAAGCTGGGCTGGGCGGCTGGGCTGGGCTGGGAAAAGGTCGGCTGGCTGGGCTGGGTGGCTCGGGCTCGGGCCAGGGCAGGGCTGGGCTGGCTCCTGATTTTTGCAACCGGGACCTGATTTGAATATGGTGGAGCTTTGTGACTGGAACCTAGTTTTGGGCTAGGTTGTGCTTCAAATTGACGGTTTAGAGTCTAGGGGGCTCAACGCCAGCAATGACAATCAATTTCCATTTATTTCTTTCTTGAAGGTTTTGTATTTTTTTTTGGGGGCTCTTTCTTGAAGGTTTTGTATTTTTTTTTGAGGGCTCTTTCTTGAAGGTTTAGGGCTTAGGGCTAGAGTAACTGCAATGAAGGCAAGAACTCAGGGGCCGAGCTGGGTTGGCTCTTCTGCGGGTCGGTGCCGTGAAGGTCCGGGACCTGCGACTTTGCGGATGCTCCGGTTTAGGGTCTAGGATTTAGGAGTTTATGATTCAGGAGTTAGGGTTTAGGGTTTGGGATTTAGTAGGTTATGATTCAGGAATTAGGGTTTAGGTTTTAGGATCTAGGAGTTTATGATTCAGGAATCAGGGTTTAGGACGTAGTAGTTTATGATTCAGGAATTAGGGTTTAGGACATAGTCGTTTATGATTCAGGAATTAGGATTTAAGGTTTAGGAAGTTTAGGATTTAGCAGTTTATGATCCAGGAATTATGGTTTAGGCCTGAGACCCCCAACAAATTGCGTAGGGTGTCTATGGCTTACCTTAACCCTGACTAACCTACCTCTTTTGAGTTCCTTTTTATGATTTCCTTAAAGACAGCCCTTAACAAAAGGGTGAGGCTTAACCCTAAACCCTAAACCCCTAAACCCTAAAAGGCAAGGCTTAAGGCCAAACTCCTCACCGGAGAAAGTTCCTTTCGACTTGGGGTCGCTGCTTCCAAGACCGACTCAAGCCGGCCATGGACGGCAAGCTTGACTCAATCAGCGCTTTAGCCGTTTAGGGTTTGAGTAGGGTTGTTGGGGTTTAGGGCTTGAGTAGGAGTTGGGGCTAAGGGGTTGAGTAGGGTTTAGGGTTTAAGGTTTGAGTAGGAGTTAGGGTTAAGGCTTTGAGTAGGGTTTAGGGTTTAGGGTTATCAAATTTGGTTTATAATTTAGGGGACACAAATTAGGGCTTGGGGGGGCGACCCGACATGGATACAGTGGCCTGACGCTGTGGGTTTCTCGGTAGTTAAGCCGACCTTCCGCACGCCTCGAGGACACATACCATGTTCGAGGCTGCTACGCCAGTGCACCATACAGGTAAAGACTTTGCAAACCCCTTGGCGCACGTCTTTTTTCGGGCTTCCACGGAACGCAGTGCTTCCGCACAAGAATCGGCGCCTCCACACAACAGCTACAACAGCCAAGCGATACCTTAAGATGCTAAACCCCTTAGACTCCAAATCCTGCAACCTGCAGCCTGAACCCTCAAGCCTTACAGATCTCGGCTTGTAGCCTTGAAGGCCTTTAAAGTAACCGTGATCCTGATAGTAGCGCCCATAGAACCCCGAGAGGAACTCTGGAATAAGGCAACCCTGCAATGCAAGGAGAGAAGATCCCTGAAAGGAACCCCAGGAACCCCCCTTGCCTCCAGAATGAGCCTTTTCAGCCGGCTGCTGTGTTGCTGCAAACCTCAACGGCTTCCCACCGACGGATGATTTGTCAACCAGGGTCGCAGCAACTTAGAATAGGGTTCTTTCAGGACTCTTCGAGGGTTACGACAAGGGTTTAGTAAAGGGGGCTTACCTGACTAGAACAAGGTCTTGGGGTACATTCTCGTATACGTAGGACTATTCGGGGATAGTTTTGCTATGTAGGAAGGTGATAAGCTGTCAAGGTGGTGGATGAGTCGCAGAAGTCTCCTGACTGTGGTCTGGGACTTTGCTTGCTCGCAGCTGCTGGCCTAGCATGAACTCCTAGCCCAAAACTACACTAAACCGAAAACCATAAGCCCCAAACCCTAAAGCCAAGACCTTGAATCCAAAACCCTAAACCCTTTCGGTTTCGGAAGGGGCTTGAAAGCTGACTCTTAGGGTTTTATGCGTTTTGGGGGCAAGGCTCAGAAATCCTACACACCTTCGCCTTCCCACCTGCAGAGACGAGAAGGTGCTATTATGTTATTCAGTTATAGGACCCTTAGATATATAGCTCACCCCTGGGTTTAGGGTTACTGTAACACAACCCGTACAATCCCCACACCTGGTTTAACACACATGTGGCAGCATCGCAAACCGTTGTTCAGCCGCGAATAAACCGCCTGAAGTACCCTAACCGGTGCAAGACCAACGCCCCAAGCCCTAGACTACTCAGCAAAAAAACCGTAAAGCCCCAAACCCTAAAAAGGCCCAGAAGCCCTTGAGCCCTCAGCCATCCAAGAGTGAATCCCAATGCAAAGTCGACTCACCCTACCTGAACCTGCTTTGCGTTTAGAGTTTAAGGGTCTTAGGTTTAGGCGTTCAGGGCTTTGGCGTTCAAGGCTTCAGGGTATCAGAGTTCAGCATCAACTCAATGACAGACCCGAGAAAGCAATCAGGGCATTGCAAGTCTACGCCAGATCTATGTTTCTATCTTGACTCACCCTGAGATTCCAACCGCAAATCCCAGATCACAAATCCGCAAACCCCTAAATCAAAAACCTTACAGTCATAAACCCTAAACGCTAGGTCCTAAAACCTAAACCTTACAGTCAGAGCGACGCCACCGAGCCATCTGAGCTTGGCCCACCTGTTGGGTCTCAACGGTCTCAACACTAGGCCCCTCGTAACCCCTCCAAAAATACGCACCCCAAGAAGGTTTTCTTTTGAGAGCCTGTTTCCTCACCGCAGGGGGTCGGAGAGCCTCATTGGGCAGGCCTAGGGTTACCCCAAGAAGGTTTAGGTTTAGGGTGGTTTAATTGCAATAACCCTTTCTCCTTCTGCCGCTACGTGTCCAAAGCCCGCCTCGGGAGGCCTACACTTGGATCAAGGGTTTACCCATAGACCCATAGTAGTTCCTCTTGAGGGGTTCATGTGTAGAATCCTATAAGGTCATCCCAACAAGGAACTACTATGGGGCCTATGGGTGGGTTCATATATCCTATTCAGTTCTGAGAAGGACACCCCAAAACGCAAAAAAAGCCTTTAAACCCCCAAGCCCCAAAGCCCCAACACAAAAGCGATACCAGGGTAGAGCTGGAACCTACTTGGAGGGTCGGGGGACTTAGTAAGTAGGTAGTAAGTAGACCTATAAGTACCCTAAAAGTGACCCTAATTGGGGTTATGGTACTTATAAGTCCCTAAATAACCACTAGATCCCCCGACCCTCCAAGTAGGAACATGAGGTCTCCGCACAGGTTTCAAGTCCAGGATTTATTCGTGGTCCAAGGTTACAGACGAGAACTGTCCGGTCAAAGCTGGTAGATTTTAGGTGCAGCATGTGGAGACAAGGGCTACAGGTCTAGGTTCACAGCCCATGGCAAAGGCAAGCAAGAAGGCTATGTTGTCACATCCTTCATGGAAAAAAGCCTTGCCTGCTAAGAAATGCAATAAATCGCACAAGACTCTGCCAAACGACATGAAAAGCTGGTCCCTTAGCACTTGACAAACGCTGGCGTGCGTGATTCGTGCATCTCGAGTGCCTTGTGGGTAGCCGCCGTCTGCCGGCTGCTGCGGTGGTGGTGCCAGCCTTACTTGGAGGTTCATGGGTAGTTAGAAGTGGGGTTGCACGTCACCTACTATGGGTTATAGCTATAATTACCGTACTTATAACCCTACTTAAAACCACTCATGAACCTCCACGTATCAGCATCCAAGCCCCTGAGTGAGCCCCAGAGCCGGTGGTTTAGGGTTTAGGGGAGGTCGAGGCTTATGTAACGGTTTAGGGTTCAGGGTTTGGGATGTCCTCAACTATGGGGCCGGAAGGGTTTGGGCTGTAGGGTTCAGGGTTTAGGGAAATCATAGAGGTCGAAGTTTAGGCAATTACAGGGCTTTCTCGACGTCCTCAACTATGCGGCTCAGGGCTAGCAATGGTTTAGCATCATCTCCATCACCAGCAAAGTCACAACTGAAACATACCAGATGCGTATGTTGATTTCGAATGAACTACATAATGAAGGCCATTTTAGAGCATACACGTCTTGCTTATAAAAGACAATGGAGCTTGCACATTGCGCATAAAGTCATTGATATGGCAACATGCCGCTATGCCAACCTGACATCAAAATGACATCATGATCGGCTGGCGCCTGGTAGCATATAGTAACAATGCTGACTGCTTTTATTGTTGTTACCGTTGCTTATTTCCAGTATCAGCCAGATTCCTACAACACACTACTATTACTACCAAAAATGTGATCTTTTACGAAGATCAAAATAAGTACAACCATCCGCATATTATCGGTACAAGTTGTTAACAGCAAAACTCTTTTGTTGACATGGCAGCTCTTTCTTCAGGAATTCAATGTCGGGGCATAGAGTAAAGAGGTAAAGGCTTGGGGTTTACACTGATGCACCTCGGGGCTTGAAGTTTTGCGCGGGTCTCTGTAAGGTTCTTTCAGGATTTTATCGGAGATAATGCAGATTTCATCCTAAACTAAACCAAAAGCCTTCTGCTTACCTGCGGTTCCCATATGCCTTACTGTTCAAAGTTGGCACGAAATCCCGCGGCTCGGCTCGTAACCCTACTTGGAGGGTGGGGAACTTAGTAAGTAGGTAGTAAGTAGACTTTTAAGTACCCTACTGGGGACCCTAATTGGGGTTATGGTACTTATAAGTCCCTAAAATAACCAGTTACTACGTCCCGCGACCCTCCAAGTAAACCCAACACGTCTTCTTGTCACCGCTTGGAGCCATGCGCAGGCGATGGACTTCTGGAGGATCCCCGATAGCCACCTGGATCCCGCGGTGCTTTTATAGAAACCCGGGCCAACTAAGGCGCGTTCATCTTTTGTTTGGTTTTGGAAGGGGCGGAGGGGGGGGGGGTTGTGGCTTTTTTTCGACTTGCAACCAAGGGTGGGTTTAGGACGTAGGGTGTTGGGCTCATCTGTCAAAACTTGAGGGAACTAGCCTCTCGGCCTCGGTTTTTTCTCATGAAAGCCGTCGGTCTCCTTGTTTCTCGGCGAGGATGATCTTCCCACATATCACCCCTTTCAGGGCAGCCCTCAACTTCGGCCGACACTGCGGTGTTGCCCCGTGTTCAAGTCGCGGAGGGTAGCGGGGCTGGAGCTGAGGTGTGTGTGGCTTGGTGGTCATGATGTCTCTGCATGAATAATAGCACTCGCAGAGATATTGCAAAAGCCAGTCACCTGTGCTAGTAGGGTTCGCAAATAAAAGCACATGTCGTGTTGTTGATGGATACAAGTTGTCTGCTTACTTCATTCTTACTTCACTGGATCGTTCTTATCACTAGCCAGCCACTTGAATGTAGCGGCCTCTATGGTCCGTTTGCGGTTTTGGGGTACATAATCATGGTCATAGTACAGGCATATCAGGACCAAGCGGCCACATAGCCCCCTAAACCCTAAGTCCTATTCAGACCTCCAGACTAGTGAAAACCAATCGTCAGCCAGCTACAACTGACCAAGGGACTCCCGAAGCCCAGATTCCCAAATTATTACTATTTTGTGTTGCTATTATTCGACTTTGCATTCTCATTATTATGATTATGATTATGATTTTTAAAACTTACTACTATAATATTATGGCCGATTAGGGCTTCCGGTTTAAAGGGATGCAGGGCTTGGGCAAAGCTGGGGTGACTCTGCGCCAAGCTCCAGAACATAGCGCTAAGGTCCCAGCGCCTCCCCTGCTTGGCGTCCCTGGATTTGAAGCTGGTTTAGGGGCTCAGAGGTTTTGGGCTGCAATTTGGGGTTTGGGGTTGTGTGTGACGGTTCAAGGTTTACGATGCCCAAGGCATGAAGGCTCGCGGGGTTCAGCTCAGACGTGCACCCAGGGTTCCTGGAAACTAGTCAAGCCAAGCTGCAACTCTCCGGGCTTCTTAAAAACCTATAAGTGTTACAGGGTTGTTTGTCTCGTGATTTTTCCGGGTCGAGGCAGAAGCAGGCCGTGAATGCACGAAGGCAAGACCGTAGAGAAACTGCGCCGGTCGTACACAGCTGTTCAATGGTACAGATAGCAAGAACTCCAAGTGTAGCATACACACAACGGGGCTGCGGCCCGCAAACGCATAGTAGCAGGACGAATACTACAAGTGGTAAAATAAGTGCTGGACTTCACGAACAGTGACAGTCGCACGACCAGGAAATGCTTCTGCGGTAGTACCAGATGCCACTGTAGGAATGCATCAAGTGAAACATTTGAACAACACACAGCAGAACATAACAGAAACTGCACCGTACTGACCATAAGGAAACCACGGTCAAACTATGGAGATAATATGAACAACAGAAACAACTCTAAGCAGCACTACAAACGGTGGCCAGAATCGTCATACTCGTCGCCGTGATCATAGGCAAAAGCGGGAACCACCCCAGCAAGGGCAGTAACCGAAACACCCGTCAGTGGATGACTGATGGCAATGATCGTTCGAATCTGAGGTTGTAACTCCCGGGTACAGGGTGTCATTCAAAAACCGGTTGCAGCGCTTTGTGGCATAAGGCTTGAGGTTTGGGATCGAGCGCTTAGCTTCGGACGCAGGCTTCCAATATTTTGACTTACGGCCTTTGGGTGAGCTCTCCGGCTGTCTTCATAGTCTTGCGTAGACGGGGTGAGTGGAGAGAGGGATGGGACAGCGTTGGAGCTTGGGCCCAGTGCATCATGGGGGGGCGGGGGGGGGGGGGGGGGGGGGGGGGGGGGGGGTTGATCACTCCCTTATTTGGAACCATAAGTTTGTGTTAGCTTCGGAGTGGTGGTAGGTCTGTGAAGGCCGTTTGCCGGAACGGTCTCATAATAACAACAGCATTAACAAACATCGTAACACAAACAGTAACACTAATATACACACTAGCTTGAATAACAAAGGACTTCTCCAATGATACTTAATACGCGCCTGAAGATGGACGTCGTTAGCGAAGATGCGAACATGCTGACCTCCCGTCGCGCGGCGCCAGCATTCCTGAGGGTTCATTGTTTAGGGTCGGGCCCTAATTTGTCTTTGAGGTCCCGGGTTTCGGGGGGGGGGGGGTTGAGGCCAAGGCAAGCAAAGCAAGGTCTCGACTGCTACCAACAAAAACTTGCAAATTTACCGGGACTCCCAGTGAACCTTATTGCTCACACTCGGTTCTAGCAGGGTTTGACTGCTTAGCTGACAGCCTGACAAGCAATGAGCTGCATGTCGCTATAGGTGGGGAACTTGCTGACTTCAACCTTCAAAATGTGGTATCGCTGCCAACGCAGTGTTGCGCTTCTTGTTGAGAAAGTTCTTCGCAACAGGGACCGTCTCGACGTGCATGGTTGGACATGCTCTACTGATGCAGGCAAAGCTTTTGCCATGATTAGCTTGACAAAGCCCTGAACTGTAAGACCCGAACCTAACCGCGGAGTGAGGCTTCGAGCTGGTAACAGACAGATAGATGGAACAGTTTGGGGTGTCTGTGCAGGTTGTCCCGCAACAGCATCGCACAGCTTCTTGCGATTGAGAATGAAGGCCGTAAGGCAGAGGGGCCATTCTGGTCCTGTGAAAAAGAAAGGCCATCAGACCCGCTTGGTCTGCAACAGGCGATGCCTGCTGAAAGGCTAAAGATGAAATCCAACATGGTTGACTCAATATCGCCCCTCCGCAAATCCCAAACCCTAAAGCCCTGAAGCTCCTAAACCATCCTGAAACTCAAACCACTAACACCCTTAACGACCCGACTCCCCAAAGTCCCTAAACCTCTCTAGGTTTGAAGGTGTCGGGCTTTGGGGATTTCGGGTTTAGGGTGTAGGGGTTTGTGGCTTCAGGCGCTTAGGGCCTTTGAAGGGTTTGGGATGTAGGGTTTTGAGCAACCAGGGTGCGTGAAAGGAGTTCTCTTCACCGGCATCCGTGGAAGCCTCGGCAGGAAAAACGAAGGCATCGGGAGCTCTGGCGGTTCAGGGCTTCTGGGTCTTTAATGATTTTTGAGGGGTTCTGGAGTCGTAGGGTCACGGGCTTTAGGAAGGATTTTGGGAGATTTGATTTTTTTATGAGATTCAAAGTTTTAGGGGTTTAGGTGTTAAAGGGGTCGTGAGGTTTTTAAACCGGAGGAGCGTAGGATTTCAGGCTTTTTTCGGGGCTTTGGGGATTCGAGCCGAGAGTTCTGAAGCCCGCGATCCGGAACCCACAATCCGATAAGAGATATCCAGAGGCGCAGAAAACCCCTTAATTAATTAAGGAATAGACCTTAAAAATCTAATAGGAACCCTAATATGAATTAAAGATTCCTAAATTAAGGGGTCAATTTATACCTCAAAGTACAATAGGAACCCTAATATGATTTAAAGGTTCTGATTAAGGGGTTTGGGAATCTTTGGGTATCCCACCCCAAACCCGACACTCGAAACATCATGCGCAAAAAACCCAAAAGACTAAATCGCAAACAAAAAACAAGCGTTACAAAGGCACGGAGTCCCACCACGCAAACAGCATCAAAGTACTCTACACCTGGGACGCTCCGCACATCAAATCTCAAAACTACCTAGACCATCCGATTTACCCAGTACCCTAAATACCTACTACTAGGCCGCCAATGAGGCCTGTCTAAGGGTACCATTCAAAAGTGTTCTAGCTTCTATATCATGCAGGGCTCAGGAAAATGACAACAGCTAAGAGTACCGGAATCTGCCAATCTCAACCCTACCCGACTTAGAGCATCAGGGTACTTAGTAACTCAGGTTGTACGTACCTTCCCTACATGCTACTGTTGATGATATAAATCCTGCATTACCCTAAGGGCCCTAAACTATGGGAATTATGGTATATTCCTGATTATGGGCCATGCAGGATTTATATCATCAACCGTACGTCCCATCATCCTTCGTAAGCCCTGGGCCCTGAACCCTGAATCCCCAATCGGTTCAGATTTTTCCTTAGGATTCAAGACCGGGCAAGTTGCTCTAACTTAATTAGGCTACATAACAAGAGGCATGATCATAAAAAATCAAAGAGACAGGGCAGCATAGACAGTCGTAAGCAGTTCTCAACCAACATTAAACGCTCACCAGCATGACTACAAGGATGGCACACCTCAACCTAAACCACAAAACCGTAAACCCTAAACTTAAACCCTAAACCCTCAACCCTCAGCCCTAAACCCCTAAACGAACCCAAATCTTGGCCGGTCGACTCCGGGACAGGCTCGTAGACCTGGCTGGGGCTTAGGGCTTTCGAGTCATTTAGGGCTTAGGATTTAGGGATTTAGGGTTTAGGGGTTTAGGGTTTGGGAGATCAAGGGTTTAGGGAGTTACGGCTTAGGGTTTAGGGTTTAGGGCTTTAGGGTTCGGGAAATCAGGGTTTAGGAAGTAAGGGACTAGGGATTTAGGGTTTAAGGCTCAGGATTTACGGTTTAGAGGTTTAGGGTAACACTTGGGATCCAGGGTCTAGGGTTTAGACGATTTTCGAGACATTCTGACATGTAGGGTTTGTATGGCTGCAAAATATAGCAGTGCAAACGACACCAACAACGGCATCACAGCAGAAGAATGAATGGAGCCAACCTCTCATGATGTTTTCCATGTTTTCTGACCCATTCTTCACCGACGCAGCAGCAGTCTCATCAACACGATCGTTGAATTTTTAGCCACGGTAGCCGTCGGACGGAATGCATGTCCGTAGCCATAGGTCGAACTCAATTGATCTGACATGCTGGCGCTGACGTCGAAGTATGTGACAATGGCAGGCTTCCTGCTTAAAAACACCACCACGTAATCCTTGTGCTACAGTAGCAACAACAAATTGTGGCAGGGATGTTGGCGACGGTTCTGTTGTTTCCTTAACGTACTGGGAGCACAGCAGTGATAAAATGTCGTCGTAGAAGCTGCCTTAACTGTGCTGGCACGGACAGGGTTCATGTGTTCCTGCCGTGGTTACTAGTTATTGTCGACCTAACTTTCAAAACTCTAAACCCTAAAGCCCAGAACCCTAAACCCCTGAACCCTAAAACGAAAGCAACTCCATCGTCTGCAGCCTCGGTGGCTGCCTCCGGAGCGACGACCTGCCAGCGGTCTGTACAGAGGACGGAACAGTTGGCATGTAGTTTTCTCTTTGGATGCTTATAGGATGCAGGGCTTGGGGGTTCAGGACTTCTATAATTAAGATCCTCTGGCTCAAAACAGGAAGACTTGCAACAGCCCCTTAATTGGGCTTGCGCATTAAACTTCAAACCAACGGGGAGCGCGAAACAGCATCAAATCCTGGACTCCTAATTCCTGAAGTTGTTAAAGCCCATTTCCGAAGCCGCGAAAACCTGAACGCTAAAACCCTGCCGGCTGCCGGGTGAGAACTAATGGGTGGTTGCCAAAATTGGGGTTTCTTTCTGGGTCCTTATTATAATCCGGCACCTATTTTTCAGGGTACCCAAAAAGGGACCATAATTTTGACAACCACCTAAGGGATCAGCCTTTCCCTGCTACTGCAGAGTGCTTGGACCGACTTCGACTCTGTAGACCGGTCAGGTGTTCGCGCGGTCTACTTTAGAAGCTTCCCCCGCCCTGTAATAGTGACTATAAGGATTATATTAGGGCCTTATTACATTCCCATTATATTCCTATTATACCACTATTACAGGGTGGGGGCCCCTCCTAAAGTCTACTACAATGTTGAATCCCTACTTGGAGGTTCATGGGTAGTTATAAGTGGGGTTATAAGTAGGATAACTATAAGTATAACCCATGTTAAGGGACTTATAACCCTACTTATATCTACCCATGACCCTCCAAGTAAACCTTCTATAAACCTTAAACCTTAGACTGCATCAGACCCACAAGTCCCGAGGCGAGGGCTCATTCATCAAGTCTCCGAGGTAGTCTCTCTTTGTACTTCTCAAGTAATATTGGGTTATGAACAGTTTTAATTTTATTAGCTATTAGGGTGCTTTAAAGCTTTACAAGGTTCTATCGGTGTGCGAACGCCGAAGGCGCGCAAGAACTTTCAATCTGTGAGTTGACAGTTTTCAAGGCGCAAAGTTCTGAAGTCTTACTGAGGTTGTAGGGTCAGGGGCTTTAGGTCCAGGGCTCAGGGTCTAAGATCTAGGGTTAGGCCATTGAGCCCTGAAGGCACCTTGATCGGCAAGGGAAGCATAGACACTGCCACAGACGGAAGGAACTCGAAGGACACCTCGCCACCCTGCACACAGGCACAGGGAAAGCCTTCGAGTACGATACAGAGCGAGAATGACATAAGATAGGGATTGGGGTATGTATGTATGCATGTGTGCATGTATATGTACATATGTATGTATGTATGTATATATATATATGCACATATCATATGTGCAACCTCAGTTTATTTTGTAGATATACACACAACATATCGTGTTACATTTTGGCGTTTAGGGGGGATAGTGACAGTGGTAATCACAAATTTACCCAGACTCAAATACTGCAGGGGTGGCACTGTTGCTTTCAGGCTTTTTAGTTGGAATGCAGCGATAAGGGTGCAGGAGCTGGGGCTTTACTAACCACCGCAACCGCAGAACCAAAACAGCAGCGACACCAAACCAACAACAACACAAACACCAGCACCAAAACGGCCACCAGCCCCGCCACCACCACCACCAACAGCACCAACAACTACTACTGTAACCACAACCACGACCACTACACCAATAACAATAACAAGTACGACTGCAACTACAACTACAATCATCCTCATCGTCATCATAAGCATCATCATCTTCTTCACCTTTATCATTAACAAAACCATCATCGTCATCCTCATAATCATCATGTTCCATCTTCATCGTCATCATCACCAACGTCATCATCATTATCAACAGCAAGAGGCAACAACGTCATCATCACCACCATCGTCATCACCCACAGCACCGTCACCACCGCCGTCATCGTTCTGCCCATTGTTGCCATCAACCTCCACAAGATGATCCGCGGCAACAGCAACACTTCCTCAAGCTGTCAACGGACTTACCTTGAACACCAAACTAAGTGCCTGCGTCCGGTTATATACGGCTTCCCCCCCGAAGGATGCTAATGTTACAATACTTTTCGCGAGTACTAAGGCCCCTATGCCTGGCCTCCGTGCCCGGTGGCACTGGAGCCGATGAAGCAACTGGGAGAGAACTTGGGGCTTAGGCTGGAAGATTTAGAGTTCGAGGGCTTTGGAGTTTAGGGTTTGGGGTTTAGATGCTTCGGGGTTAGGGTTCAAGGCTCCGAAGCATTTGGGGTGACTTACTTAGCAGGCTCTCTTGTGAGAGTGGCCTTCAAATTCGGCCACTGAGCTTGAATACAGGTGGGTGGTTGTCAACATTATGCTCCCTTTTTGGGTACCCTGAATAATAGGTGCCGTATTGTAACAAGGACCCAAAAAGGGACCCTAATTTTGACAACCACACAGGTCTGATGACTGACATGGATCAAATGACGTATCAACCATCGACATGACGCGCATTTATGAATCACAGTCGTAATTGCCACCTTCACCCCAAACTCTGCAAGCCCTACACTAAGCCTACTAAGCTCTTCAACTATATTTTTGCGGAGCCTCTGCTTTACAATGGCTCAGGTCCTCAGGTCCTTCATTGTTCGGGGTGTCGGGTAGTTTCAAGCTCCAAGGAGGATCTTGGCTGCCCTGAACTCCTTACAGTAGTTGCTGAGTTCATAAGCCCCCCAAAGTGTACACTTTCAGTTTTATAGTGGGTAATATTATCCCAAAAAGTGTAAAGTGTATCCACTCAGCTACTAAGACTCTAAAACCCTACAACCAGAAACAAGGACTATAACCCGCTTCCCCTTCAGATAAATACATTCAATCATCGAATGAACCCTCCAGCAAAACCAAACCCGTGGCTTTTGAGAACCCACGCACCCTGCAACCCACTAATTGACCAACAAACCCAAAATCCTGGCACCCAAAACCTACCGAAACCACTTAATCCTAAAGCGTAAACCCCTAAACCCTAAACTCTTAAACCCCTAAACCCTAAACTCTTAAACCCCTAAACCTTAAACTCTTAAACCCCTAAACCCTAAACCCCTCAACTCCTAAACCCCCCCCCCCCCCCCCCTCTCCCCCCCCGCAATCTTAGCCCGGGGCCGGTCTCGGCTTTGGAGCTTTGCCGCACTTCCTTCAGCTTGGGGGTTTAGGGTTCCCTTCTGGGTCCTTACCAGGTTTAGGGTTCAGGGGGTTTAGGGGTTTAGGGTTTAGGGGTTTAGGGTTTAGGGTTTAGGGGTTCAGGGGTTTAGGGGTTTAGGGCTTTTTTTTTAAGTGCAGTGGACCCTTTCTCCGAAATTGGGTTTAGGGTTTAGGGGTTTAGGGTTTTGGATTTTAGGGTGTAGGTCTAGGGTTCCCCTTTATGGGTCCGTTAAAGGGTCCTATATGGGATCTATAGTAGGGAATAATTGGACTAGGGTTTTGGGGCCCACTATTGTACTTATAATAGGAAACCCCCAAAATGGTATTGGTAATTATTTCAGCTCGTAACGGGAAGTCCTTCGGGCTTTCCGGCTTTGGCACAAGGTGTACTTGGAGGGTCGGGGGACTTAGTAACTGGTTATTTTAGGGACTTATAAGTACCATAACCCCAATTAGGGTCCCTTTTAGGGTACTTATAAGTCTACTTTACTACCTACTTACTAAGTCCCCCGACCCTCCAAGTAGGGTTCAGGGCGGTTGCATGGCTTGTCTATCGCACCTTCGTTCTGTTTTTATCTTCGGAGAGGGGGGGGGTGGTTATGGTTGGTTAGTTCTTCGTTGATGGTTTTGAGTGTTTGCCGTTCGGGGTTTCGTGCTTTGGGTTTAAGGCTTGATGCAGCCGTATGAGTCTTCGTACTAGTTACAATTACTACATTCTTTGTAGATTTTAGATGTTTCGGGTTCAGGGTTGTGACGGTCAGTCTTATACTGCTTTCTGAGGTTGGGCTTTCAGGGCTTCACTGGTCTTGTTCTTGTAGCTCTCGGGGATTCGTTTCCGGCGGAGGGCCTCTTTTCGCACGCAGTGTTGTAGCATGCACACACACACACGTATCTTGCAAGTGTATCCTAAGCTACTGGTCCTACTGACCGATTCAGATCTTACTGATCCATGTCGAGGCAACCAACTGGCCAAACAAATCCTGAAGACCCTCAGCCCTGAACGCTAGGCCTATACCCCTAGACCCCTGATTAATAAGCCCCTACACCTTTACAAAGGGTATGGTGGGGATCCTAACTTAGGGCCTTTAAAGAAAGGGGGTACTGAATCAGGGGTCTGCATGACACAAGCACCCATCACTGCCAGCGAATTGCCCAAAGTGCTCGACCCTAAGTTTCTGGACCAATCCTCGTAACTCCCAGCGCTAAGACCTTCTCACCCTCTCTTTATGGTTCCCTACATAGTATGATGTCCTGAAAGATATCTGGGGCCAGAGCTCGGCCCCCAGACCTTCCAAAATCCCTTAATTAAGGAATATACCTTAAATCATATTAGGGATCCTACTATAATTTAAGGTATATTCCTTAATTAAGGGATTTTGGAAGGTCTGGGCCCTAGTTACTATCATTTTCGAGTCTACCTTGGCCGGCCTCTGCTCGCGCAGCCTGCAGAATGGCGTGTGCGATGGCCTCAGAGCGTTTAGGGTTTAGGGGTTTAGGGGTTTAGGGGTTTAGGGTTTAGGGGTTTAGGGTTTAGGGGTTTAGGGTTTAGGGTTTCGGTTTGAGGATAAGTCCAAAGCCTATTTCTGGGGTCTGTTGGGGCTGCCGTATAGATTCATTGCTTCGGGCTTCGAGGTTTGCAGTCTTAGGGAAAATGCCCGTTTGTAACAGCAAAGCCGGTGCTGACTGGCTCAACTGATAGTATCGTCAAGATAACGGATGTTTTGGGGAATATGGATCTACTGACCTAGAGCAGTTGAGGTACAACACAGAAAGTCGCTCGTCAAAGGGCATCTGCCTCCCCCGCATGCAAAGCAAATGACCGAAGCACGCCAAGCTTAGTGAGGAGTAAACATTAGGAGATATGACGAAAAAACAAGCTCTGTCAGTTTTTACGGCAGGGTTCCTTGAACCCTAAACCCTGCTTGGAGGTTCATTGGTTACAACTATAGTTGCTCAACTTATCCCCCGACTTATCGACTTATCACTACCCATGAACCTCCAAGCAGCAGTCCTTGCACCCTAAACATCCCTAAACCCTAAACCCCCAAGCCCGGTCAGCAGGGTTCGCAAGAGAAAAAGCACCAACTGCTGTGGAGGCCCTGGCTGCCTGGGCACCGCGGGTGGCCGTGCCTTCCGAGACCTGAGGCGTGTGTCGCTTGGAGGTTCATGGGTGGTTATAATAAGTGGGGTCACACGTATAGTTTAAGGCTTTGGGGAAGTTCGTTTACAACTATAGTTAACCCCATGAACCTCCAAGTGGTTCGGAACAGCTGACGGGTGCAAGCGCCTAGTTTGGGTCCGGGTTTTCAGCTGTTTTCAGTTCGGGGCATAGTGTTCGGGGAATTCGACGTCAGCTCTGTAGAGATGCGGATGCAAGGTTTCACGTGGCTCTGGGCTCTGGGTAGTTTTCACACTTTCGAGCGTAGGCGTTCTGCTTGTCACTCAAGGTCTCTTCCAAAGACCACACTCGCTAAAGTCCCGCTTGGTGGTAACTTTCAATCAATAGGGATACTGCGACTTTTCGCTACCCTACGAAGAGCATACGATTCTAACGGACAGCAGTGCCAACAACATTCAGGGACCTAAAAAAACACTAAACCCTAAACCCTGAACCTAAACCCTAAACCCTAAACCCTAAACCCAACCCTGAACCCTAAACCCTAAACCCTAAACCCTTTAAACTCTGAACCCTAAACCGATAATCCCTAAACGCTAAACCGACCTTCAGGCTACCTGGCACCTCCCTCAGGAGTTGCAGACGGGGCGCCCATACCCCAAATTGCAAACACCCGGAGGCCGAAAACGGCTTAGGGCTTTAGGGTTTAGGGTTCAGGGATTTAAGGGTTTGGGGTTTAAGCTTTAGGGTTTAGGGTTCAGGGATTTAAGGGTTTGGGTTTAAGCTTTAGGGTTTAGGGTTTTAGGGTTCCGGGTTAAGGGCCTTGAAGCATAAAGCCCCAAACCCTCATAGAACCCTTGAAATTTCCCCTCTTCTAGAAACCCTCAGAGCAGCCCTGAGAGGTAACCGTTATTGCGACCCCGACCGTACCCCCGGTATACTTACTAAGCTTCGCACAAAACCTTCCTTTGCTTTACCCGTGTGGCAACCTTATAGTAACTCTGATCGAACCCTTTTGGTAACCCCTCGGGTAGGGGTTTACTTGGAGGGTCGGGGGATTTAGTAACTGGTTATTGTAGGGACTTATAAGTACCATAACCCCAATTAGGGTCCCTTTTAGGGTACTTTTAAGTCTACTTTACTACCTACTTACTAAGTCCCCCGACCCTCCAAGTAGGGTTTCGGGATTAGGGTTTAGCCGCGTAGAACTTTGCAGAAGCAGCAAGGTAAGACTTCGAGGCTCAGCCCTGGAACTGCAAACAGGAAACGCCTGGTATGGGAGTTTCCGAAAATTAGGGGGTACCTTATTTTGGGGCCCTTATAATAAGCATCCTGCTATTTAGGGTACTGTATTAGGATCCCCTATTTTCGGAAACGCCTGACCTGATATAGGGCCCTCGATAATCTTCGGTTCAGGGTATAAACGTGTAGTACTGCTATATTATGGAGGCTGTAAGGGTATAATCAGGGTCTAGGGTATAGTTGTAGCTTGTAGCAAAATTTCTACTGGAGCCTAGTAGGCTATGCCATTACTTCCTTTTCCGAGCCTTAATTCGCTGGAAATCCCTAAACCCTGAACCCTGAAACCCTAGACCCTGCATCCATGTAAGCCTAAACCCATGATCCCTAAACCCTGAACCCTAAACCCATGACCCCTAAATCCCCGAAACTGGGCCGGCTCTTAGCTTCTGCTTCCCCTGAGAACCAGACCTCGGAAACCGCTGCATGCGAGGACACGACCTCGGCGCGAGCCATTATAAAATGGAGGGGCCTCTAAACCCTAAACCCTATAGAAGACTAAGGAATTTGTAATACTATCTGCACCCAAAGCCCCAAAAGTAGGTAAAATAATGGCCCAATGTTTCCAAAAGGCTACCTTTCTACACACTTCTGGGGTCCAGGTAATCATTCTTTCGTTGCCAGCCCGTCGCAGGGCCCGAGGGTCTCAATAAATGAGCCGAAAAGTAGGTCATGGTTGGGATAGGATTTAAAACTTAAGCCGTTATTCCTTATTGGGTTTAAGTACCGATAGAAATGCAACATGTTACCCAACTATGACAAAGCAAAGTTCATGGCCAGCAGCCTCAGACTGAAAGCCTCTCAGCCAGACATGATGTTCACTCAACAAAATGCTTGCATCGTATACTTGCAGGTTCATGGGTAGTTATAAGTAGGGCTCTAAGCCCCCTACTATGGGTTATAAGTATATCTTCCCTACTTATAACCCCACTTATAACTACCCATGAACCTTCAAGTACCCGAGGCCGGAGACATTGAGCCACAAAGACCGGCGGTGCGGGCTCGTTCAGGACTTCAACGGAGGCAGCAATCATGCGCATGTCTTAGAAGCTGCCCCCACCCTGTAATAGTGACTATACGGACTATATTAATATTCTATTAGGGCCCTATTATATTCCTATTATACCACTATTACAGGGTGGGGGCCCCTTCATGCGCATGTCCTCTTCCATCCTTTTGCTGCTGTGCTTGTTGTGGCAGCAGACGCCGTCAGTCATTTGTCGCATAATTGTCGCCTCACACAATAAGGCACACTGCGAAACGGGCCCGGGTGAGACAAGGGCATCGAATAGTCATAAGAAGGATCCGCGAGTCGAGCACGGCCGCTTCCCTCCCTCCACGTAGGATCGAACGCGAGTGAAGAAGCAGATCACAAAGTCCTTCAACCCGGGCCTTCATAATTAGACCAGGGTTCCTTTAAAGGGTAGCTCACAAGGGTTACTACACGGGATGCTAAACGGGTGCAGTATACGGACCTTAATGATTAGAATAGGGCTTTGGGGTATTGCGGACTATACTTTTTGTAGGGAACCCGGGGGATGGTATTACTACTGTTGATGATATAAACCCTGCATTACCTTAACGACCCTAAACCATGGGAATTATGGTATACTCCTTATTATGGGTAATGCAGGATTTATATCATCAGCCGTATTATAAGCCCTAAACCCTAAACCTTCACACCCGATAGATCCCTTAAAGGAACCCCTTAAGGCTACCCTTATAGATCCCTTCTATTCTAGTTTCAGTTTGGCATCTCCGGTTCCATCTTACTGACTCCTGTGTGAAGCAAAACTCTCAGATGCGCAGGTTGCTCAGAAGTTTCTACGTTTTATGTTTCCGTAGTTCCGGCTACGCCCTATCCCGCAAACTTCCCTAAACCCTACACTTCAAACATCCCCCATCCTCATGCAGAAAAGTTGAAAACAACTCAAACCCTCAAACCTTAAACCCTGCGCCCGGAACTTAGGATGGATAAACTTGAAAGCAGAAACTCAAACCCTCGACCCTTAAACCCCTGGCCCTTAAACCCTGCGCCCGGAACACCGAGGTCACTGCTGTAGGATCCTTTGAGGCAGGGCGAGGCGCCTCCGAACCGACTCAGAAGAGGCAGATGAGGATTTGGGCCGGTCAAAGGGGAAAAGGAGGGATCCTTTATATGGGTGGCCGTCAAAATTAAGGTCCCTTTTTGGGTACCATAAATATTAGGTGCCGTATCATATTAAGGACCCAAAAGGGGACCATAATTTTGACAACCACCCATAGGAATCCCCACCCTATAACGGGCTATACAATGGCAATATAATAGCTAAATTAAGGTTGTATACCTAGGGCTCCTGATTAAGGCCCCTCCGTTTATCCTTGGGGGTGGTTGCTTCTGGGACCCGGCCACCAGTTACCAGCTATAAAACCTCAGGGCGTTTTTCAAGGTTGACACCGCAGCCCTTGGTTTAAACCCGAAACCCGCTTTTGCCCTTAAAGTGACCGCGTAGCAACCCGGTGAAAAGACACCCTTGCCCGTGCGGTGACATAGAAACATACATCTGATGCAAAACCTATGAAAAACTGAAATGCCCATTATCCTCATAGTAGCTTATAGTACAACAACAACAACGACGACGACGACAACAATAAACCCTAAACCTTAAAACCCTAACTGTAAACCCGTAAAACCTCAGACCCCTATTTAGTTGCTGAGTCATAAGCCCCCCAAAAGTGTACACTTTCAGTTCTATAGTGGGTACTATTATCCCAGAAAGTGTCGAGTGTATCCACTCAGCTACTAAGCCTAAACCCCTAACCACATACACCCCTAAACCCTGGGCCGTGCCTCTGATCCCGGTGGATGTTCGGACACGACCTCGCGCCACGAAGGCTTCGCATCGGGTTTAGGTTAGGTTTAAGTGTTTAGTGTGGGTTTAGGGGTTTAGGGCTTTGGGTTTTGAAACTGACCTGATCGCTTCTTGAGGTGTCTTGCGCCTCCCAGCAGCACAAACCCCAAAACTTACTCTTAACCGCATCACCCAGAGACTCCAAAACCCCTTAATTAAGGAATATACCTTAAATCATAGTAGGGCTCCTATTATAATTTAAGGTATATTCCTTAATTAAGGGGTTTTGGAGGCTCTGGGCACCCCTACACCCCTGAACCCTGCGGCCGTGCCTGTGATCCCGGTGGATGCTCGGACACGACCTCGGGCGACGAAGGCTTTTGCATGGGGCTTAGGGTTTCGGGTTTAATGTGGGTTTAGGGGCTTCGGGCAGGCTTCCGGGTTTAGGGTATTGGGTATTGAATCTGATCTTATACTTCTTAAGGTTAGGATATTGGGTATTGAATCTGATCTTAAGCCGCTGGAGGTGTCTTGTGCCCTAGGCCGAGTTGCTCAAACCCTAAACTAAACTGATTTTTGAGCCAGAGAGAGCCCAATACTCCGGAATTCAGGAATATAGCTTCAATCATAATATGAAGCCCCTTATGGTTTCAGGTAAAATATCCTTAAAAATGTGGGAAATCGGGCTCTCTGGGATCCCGAAAAAAGCCCAACGCCATAAGTCTGTCCTATACTGAACTTAGAACCCTAGCATAAATTATAACTTTAGCTGTTTCTTAGGGATTATAATAACCAAAATTAAAAAAATCTAAGTACCCCTAAGTGTCCCCATGCATCCGAGGCTCCGTGGGATCCCGGGAAGCTTGCTGAGGTGCTGGCACCTGCCCGGCATTACTTGGAGGGTCGGGAGACTTAGTAAGGGCCCCTTTAAAGGGGATTCCTTTAAAGGGCTCTATAAGGGTAGTATAGGGTTTAGGGTTTAGGGTTCAGGGACTTAGTAAGTAGGTAGTAAGTAGACTTATAAGTACCCTAGAAGGGACCCTAAGTGGTGCTATGGTACTTATCAGTCCCTAAAATAACCAGTTACTAAGTGCCCCGACCTTTCAAGTAGGGCCCCCCAAAAGCACATAAGCAAACATAAGGCTAGGGACCTCATTATATCGAAGCCCAATAAGGTAGGGATATCCCTATAAAATGCTCATGCTTATGTCCTAAGTCCTTGCTGCTGCTACTGACGCCAAACCCCTAGACCCTAAAAACTAAACCCGCCCTCCGTAACCAACCCTAAACCCCAAACTCCAAACTGCCCTAAACCCTGAACTGTCCTAAGCCCTGCATACACGCTAAACTCTCCTAAACCGAAACCCTAACTAAACCCTAACACACACCTCGGAGTTCGGTGCAAAGCAGCGCATGCCTCGGATCCTGGTGGATGCTCGGACACGACCTCGCGCCACGAAGGCTTCGCATCGGGTTTAGGTTACGTTTAAGTGTTTAGTGTGGGTTTAGGGGTTTAGGGCTTTGGGTTTTGAAACTGACCTGATCGCTTCTTGAGGTGTCTTGCGCCTCCCAGCAGCACAAACCCCAAAACTTACTCTTAACTGCATCACCCAGAGACTCCAAAACCCCTTAATTAAGGAATATACCTTAAATCATAGTAGGGCTCCTATTATAATTTAAGGTATATTCCTTAATTAAGGGGTTTTGGAGGCTCTGGGCACCCCTACACCCCTGAACTCTGCGGCCGTGCCTGTGATCCCGGTGGATGCTCGGACACGACCTCGGGCGACGAAGGCTTTTGCATGGGGCTTAGGGTTTCGGGTTTAATGTGGGTTTAGGGGCTTCGGGCAGGCTTCCGGGTTTAGGGTATTGGGTATTGAGTCTGATCTTATACTTCTTGAGGTTAGGATATTGGGTATTGAATCTGATCTTAAGCCGCTGGAGGTGTCTTGTGCCCTAGGCCGAGTTGCGCAAACCCTAAACTAAACTGATTTTTGAGCCAGAGAGAGCCCAATACTCCGGAATTCAGGAATATAGCTTCAATCATAATATGAAGCCCCTTATGGTTTCCAGGTAAAATATCCTTAAAAATGTGGGAAATCGGGCTCTCTGGGATCCCGAAAAAAGCCCAACGCCATAAGTCTGTCCTATACTGAACTTAGAACCCTAGCATAAATTATAACTTTAGCTGTTTCTTAGGGATTATAATAACCAAAATTAAAAAAAGTCTAAGTACCCCTAAGTGTCCCCATGCATCCGAGGCTCCGTGGGATCCCGGGAAGCTTGCTGTGGTGCTGGCACCTGCCCGGCATTACTTGGAGGGTCGGGGGACTTAGTAAGGGCCCCTTTAAAGGGGATTCCTTTAAAGGGCTCTATAAGGGTAGTATAGGGTTTAGGGTTTAGGGTTCAGGGACTTAGTAAGTAGGTAGTAAGTAGACTTATAAGTACCCTAGAAGGGACCCTAAGTGGTGCTATGGTACTTATCAGTCCCTAAAATAACCAGTTACTAAGTGCCCCGACCTTTCAAGTAGGGCCCCCCAAAAGCACATAAGCAAACATAAGGCTAGGGACCTCATTATATCGAAGCCTAATAAGGTAGGGATATCCCTATAAAATGCTCATGCTTATGTCCTAAGTCCTTGCTGCTGCTACTGACGCCAAACCCCTAGACCCTAAAAACTAAACCCGCCCTCCGTAACCAACCCTAAACCCCAAACTCCAAACTGCCCTAAACCCTGAACTGTCCTAAACCCTGCATACACGCTAAACTCTCCTAAACCGAAACCCTAAACCCTAACACACACCTCGGAGTTCGGTGCAAAGCAGTGCATGCCTCGGATCCTGGTGGATGCTCGGACACGACCTGGGAACAGCAAACATGTCATGCAGACCCAGCTCAAGTCTACACATGCACATCCCGAAAGCTTAATCCCCTGTGCCCTCAACACGGGTGCCTGAATCCTATGAATGCCTTACAGACCATTATGGTATCCCTTGTATTGGGAGTTTCCGAAAACAGAGGACCGTACCATAGTACCCGAACCAGTAGGATCCTCATTACAAGGACCCCAAAATCAGGCACCCATAATGTTCGGAAACTCGCTAGTAACCCTCCCTAAAAACACGGAAACCTCAAACCTCGACCTTCTTGCGTGTCCCCGCCATCTTCTCTTCTGCCAGGACCTCACTACACGTGCCCGAGAAAGAAGGATCTCGTGCTTATGGCAGGAATCTGTATGCCCAAAAAACGGTTCAGGGTTTCTGGGGGTTTAGGGGCTTAGGGTCCAGGAAAAAGGGGTGACGGTTAACCGACCTCATATAGGGGCCTTAATCATTGGAGTAGGGTTTTGGGGCACATTATACTATAGTAATAGTAAAGGACCCCCCAAAAATGGTACAGGTACCTATAGAAATCCCTCTTTGCCAAATGCAGGTGAGGCTCTGTAGGGTCTCTGGAAGCTTGCCGAGATTCCTCGGACGCTGCCTGCAGTTGATTTTTTTCGAGAGTCCGATCCGATATGGGTTTGCATAAATTAGGGTTGTTTGAGGGATTTTTGGGATTAGCTCGCTTTAGGATTTTAGGAGTTTGAGACTCGTGAGTTCTTCTGACATTGAAAGCAAACATGGCACCCTTTTTGTGTTCACGTGGAGGGGGAAGGCGAGACTCATATTTGTCAGTAGGTTTACGGTGGCTTAAGTTTAGGTTCACGGTTTAGGTCTTAGGTGAAGCCTAGCATATTTCAGAACATGTACGGGGGTTGACTGCGTGCTGCTGATTTCTACAGCATTTTCCTCCTGTATCTACTCATTATTTGGTCTCGTGGGGCTTAGGCATCTGCCACCTTCACATCGATCAGCTGAATCAACCGATATCAACACTCACAACATACAAATCAATGAAGGAAACAATGACGAAACTGATACCGGTACTATTACTAGCAGAAACAGCAACCATAAGAGTACAATAGGTGCCTATACGTATAACCAGGAACCACCAAAAGAGTATTGGTGATCTTTTGGGGCCCCTATCTTAGATAGACGCCAAGAAGCCTCTGTCTCCCATATCTTCGGCAACGGAAGCATCAGCGTACCGCTCGACGGGCGGAACTGGAGAGGAATCGCATCAAGTGCCTGACAGAGATACGCCTACTCACTGGAGCGGCTTCGGGTTGAGGTGGTTATCGGAAACCCTAAACCCCCCAAAAAAAACACTATCAACCCTAAACCCTATAAACCCCCCAAACCCTTCAAACCCTAATTAAACCCTATGAGCCCTTACACCCTAAACTCCCTGAACCCTAAATATTCCTTTTTTAAAAAACCTTCTTTTCTCCCCGCCTATGTTAGGGTTGGTTGAATGCCACAGGTGGCTGAACCCTAAATCCTCATAGTTTAGAGTTTAAGCCTTCTGAAGAGCCGAAGAATCGCCCCTAATCCCTGCAACCCAAACTCCCCTAAAACCCTAAGAAACACGAACCCCTAGACCCCACTCCCGACCCCCCAAATACCCTAATTTACCCCTGAACCCCAAACCCCTAAACCTCTAAACCCCGCAGCTCCAAATTAACTGACTATCGAACATCCGAGTCTCAAATAATAACATAGAAGCCTACATAGTCAGAACAAGATTCCTGTTTAAAGGGAGTAGGGTTTGGGGTTCAGGAGTTTAGGGCTTAGGAGTTTAGGGTTGAGGTTTTGGATTTTAGGAGTTTAGGGTTGAGCCCAGACCTTCCAAAATCCCTTAATTAAGGAATGTACCTTAAATCATATTAGGGATCCTACTATAATTTAAGGTATATTCCTTAATTAAGGGATTTTGGAAGGTCTGGGAGGGTTTGGGCTAGAGGCGGTCTTGGGGTTCCTGTAAGGCCTACTTTAAACGGCTCTATCAGGGTTAAGGTGTACTATAAGGGCCTTAGTCGAATCAGGCAGTTATCGGGCTTTGTGAAATTCCGAAAAAAAATTTTGAGGACTGAAACTAGGGAAGGTCTTTGGATATGCTATTTACAGTCAGTATCATTATACAGGGCCGTTCAAGGGGGAACACATGTTCAGGACCTTCGATTTGGGTTCGTACTAGGATCCTTTTGCAAAACCTCCCACATGAAGAGAGAGACGAACGTGACAGCAAACAATCTGGGGACGGTGAGGGATGGCTTACAATCGAGCGCGACTGTCACTGATAGAGAGAAGAACTGGCTCAGTGACTCAGTGGGGAATCCCAAACCCACAAGCCCTAAATCCTTTTCGAACTCTTGTAGAACCCTTGTACAACCCTCAAAAGAATACGTGAAAGAACTAAGGCCCCATTGACCTTGAAATCCCTCAAACAGCAGGGAGAGCCTCCCTCTCCGCAGCATGCTGAATCGCGTGCACAATGGCCTCACCGACCGGGGCATCAGTTTGTGACACAGGATTTAGAGTGTCTCGTCTTTAGGGTAACAGGGTACAAGTGTGCGAAACAGTTCTTATGTCTCAGAATGTCGCAGGGCCTTCATCGAAACAAACTCGTTGCTTCAACAATGAGGTGTCAAGAGAAGCCTATCAGAGAACCAACCGTAACTGCGCTGCTTGCCTGTCGTGACTTCAAGACTTGCTGACTGATATTTCCGTTACGGCCACAATTTGCCTCATTTTCTGGTTCTTGCTGGATATACAACCCAATCCTATTATTGCTGTTTGTACCAGTTTTACTGTATTGCTTCATTCTGCTGCATGGCTGCAGTCAAACGTAGCTTCAAGGACAAGTGACGGCAATAGCTCTGGTCACACATGCGACTGAACACAACCGTTATGCAAGACTTCAGGGCATACAGCTAGCTAACATAGTAGTCAGAATAGGGTTTCGGGGCCCATGATATTTAAAATTATGATGAGGAACCCCCCAAATAGTATAGGTAGTTAGTTAGGCCCCTATAGTATAGTCTCCGCTGTAGTTCCCTGTTTGGCTGCGTTGCTCTTTACCTCCGTCAAAGAGACTGCAGGTAGAGCAGAGGAATCGAAGCATGCAAGATGCCCAGACTGTCCCTGTTCTGAGAAGGCGACGGCTTGTGCCCCGATAATGGTGGAGCTCTCAGACACCTGAAGATGTGCCATCGGAATTCTGACCGCGGGGTTGGTGGTTCCTTCGGGATCCCGGTAAGGAACTTGCACGACGCTCAAACCGCCTTAAAGCTGCAGATGGTTCAAGATTGCCCATGGCATCGCTTGTAAACGCTGAACCCTGCGCGTTGCCTCTCCCGTCGCGGATTCGTCTTTTGGCACAGGGACCTGGATGACCTGAAAAGAGTTGCTGCAGGTTTTGGCCACGATTGAGATAACTTCCAGATTTCAGGAACACCGAAGCAGGACAACCTGCTCGCAAAATACAGAAGCGTCACTCTCAAATGCTAAACCTAAGCCGAATGCAATTTCCTCCATGTGCACGTCTGACACGCGAATGCGAGCAGTAGTCCGGACTACTTCTGTGAGCACGGCAACAATAGAAGCCGCACCAGTATATGGCAACACGAATTCAAAATCTCATCAACAATAATGAAGGTTCCGTACTATAAATATAGTATGAGATACCCCCAAACCCTATTCTACTTATCAAGGCCCCCATGTTACCATCGCACTGGCAAGGCGCCTCCAGGGGTATCCCCAGCCCACCGAAGGCAGCCGCCAAGATATCGTCTGCCAAGACCTGATTTTGGCAGGACGGCTTCAGTCTCTCAGATCCCCACAGGGTTCAAGTGCTCCCTATGATAGGACTTTAGGGCCGTTTTGGGCACCAAAAAAACAAATAGGGCTTAGACCTTTAGGGATCATTATAAGTTGGTGATTCTGAAAGAACATGCAATGCGATTACCCACAAGGATCATGATGATGCTAGTGCTCAGCGGCCGCAGTAGTAGTCGTCGTCACAGGTAAAGGAGTGAGTGGCTCTTGGAGTACAAGCATGCCACTTGTCTAGGTTGTGCAGGCCGGTGAGTCAGGCATTGTTAACCATTGTTATGATTCTACGTTCGATTGCATTACACACACACACACACACAATACCTGGTCAGAATTAGCATGGTGTGCGTTCATGCTATTGCTACGATCCTTACCCAAGTCAGTCGTGCTCAAAACCTGGATGCCTGTAGCTATTGCATGCTGATAACGCGGACTCCTGCGAGCGTAGCCGAAAATCTGCTGCGACTCCTCCACCTGCGCCTATGCCTGTGACCACTTCTATGCTACCACCTCAGCTACACCTTCTCATAATTCACTAATATGGGGACCTTTTTCTTTAGAATTACTTAAAAACAAGAAAGCCCCAAAATAGCATAGGCGATTATTAAGGCACCTATATCAAACCCTAAGGTCCACTTTGCACATGATTCGAGGCCCTGACGGCTTCGGTACCGAAGGTGGCAGAGAAGTCGGACTCGCCAACGCTCTGTTGGTACTCCTGATGGATAGTTGTCAATATTATGGTCCCTTCTTGGGTCCCTATTATAGTACGGCGCCTATTATTGAGGGTACCCAAAAAGGGGCCATAATTTTGATAACCACCCTGATGTCGGTTCTACTCTTACGTACAGCCAGGGATAGGAAGTTCCGCAGACCAGCTTCAAAATCAAAAATGCAATCCCTCTAGCCTTATGGGTTCGCTCGTAGGCCGTAGGCTAGCAAGCCGGCAACCAAGAACCCCTCTGGTTCCAAGATGTGGTGAAAGCTTGAAGTAGAAGACGTAGTTTGTTGATGCACAGCCCTTGCTTTCTGCATGCTTACCATCATAAAACTTCTGTTTGCGTCCTTAGCCCTCAACCGGACACCCCAAATCCCAAACCAAACCCTATACCGTCAGCCGCACACCCTTGCACGGTTTCGGGTACAGGGCTCGCGGCTTTGGTTGAAGGCAGGCTGAATCGAATAATCCTTGAACTCTGTTGAGGGTTTAGGGTGGTTCAGGCTGCTGGGTTGAAGGTTCAGGGTGACCGGGGGATTTGGTGTTTAGTTGGAACTTGAATGCAATGTAGCATTTGAGGTTTAGGGTCTGCTTTAGGGTAGGGTTGGTTTGTTCTGTAGCAGGGTATGGCCCACGACTCTGTTTCATCTATGCCCGTTGATCCACAAGCAGTTGGAATTGAACTTGGAACCCCCACACCCGAAACCTGATACCCTATACTCCATAACTCCTATACTCCTAAACCCTAAACCACAGAATCCTAAACCCTCTAAGGAAGCCTTAACCCTCAAAGAACACAAGGAATCCTCAATCCTCAACCCTAAACCCTAGACCCTAAACCCTCAAGAATCCTAAACCCTTTATGGAGTCCTAAGGAATCCTAAACCCTCTAAGGAAGGACCCTAGAACCCCTCAACCGCGAGGCTCTGAAAGCTGGGACTGATGCCGAGGACTCCCGCGTCTCGGGTCGAGTAGCAACCTGCGCTTTGGCGCTCTGGTTTAGGATTCAGTGGGGTTTAGGGTTAGGGAGTTTAGGGTTAGGGGTTTTAGGGGTTTAGGGTTTAGGGTTTATAGGGTAGTATGGCGCTTAGGCTAATGCTTTTTGGTGTTTATGAGTTCCAGGGTTCGGGGGATTTAGGCTCGGGGGCTAGTTTTGTGTACGGGTCCAAACCTACCACCCTAAGCCCTGAACCTTAAGTTGGAGACCCTAAAGGCGGGTGCCGAGAAACCCACAGACTCGCCTGCTCCTCAAAGTCCAGGAACAAAGGAGCCAACCAGGTGCCCACCGAAGGGAGCAACTCGAAAGGCGGCTCACCACCAACCTCGCAGAAGACTTGACTAAGTGACGTCGTTCTTGTTCTGTTGAATGGTTCCACCATTTATGACTCGTGGTACAATCATACTGCTGACGATTGTCTAGGCTCGTGCTGATGCTGTCTTCTGTCATGTAATTAATCGAAGTAGCTTGCAGGAATACCGCCATGAACCGCATTATGGCAAGAAGCTGAGTTAGATGTTGTTGATATCTGGGAGTTTCCGAAAATTAGGGGTACCTTCTTTTGATCCTTACATTGCAATAAGGATCCTACTGTTTAGGGTACTGTATCTGGGTTCCCTATTTTCGGAAGCTCCCAGCTCACAATCTATATAATCTAACAACCCCGCACCAAGGATGTGGAGCGACACTGCAACAAAAGAAGCTCAGCTCTAGCCCAAACGTTGAAAATACCTGACTGTCCAAACCCTGAGCCCAACACCCAAACCAGGAAAGAAAGCTCTTGCAGCAAGATTGCTTGGAGGCCCAGGGGACTCAGTAAGTCAGTTATAAGTAGGGGGAGAGCAACTCCATTTAGGGTACTTGTGACTCTACGTACAACCTACTTACTAAGTCCCCTGGGCCTCTAAGTGAGGTGGCACCTCTTGGAAGGAAACATCCAGTGGTCAACTCGCTTGTGTCTGTGATTTCCGAGGTGACAGGCTTATGATGAAACGTGACTTGACCCTCCTGTCTGAAAACACCCTACCCGAAACCCTATAAGCCCTGTAAACCCCTGAACCGATTGAGCCCTAAACCCTAAACCCCTAAACCCCTTGAGCCCTACACCCCGAAATCCATCTAAAGATCTAAAGATCTGCTGGCCTCGGAGGCCTCGTCTTGCACTTCCTCTTGAACACCCGGCTCGACCAACTCACCTTGCCGGGGGTTTAGGTTCCTTTTTTAAAGTGTAGTGGCTCTTTCTCCGCATGACAGCCTTGCAGGTCTCAGAGCCTGCCTCCACAAGATGCTCCAGGTTTAGGGGTTTAGGGTTTGGGGTTTAGGGTCCACTGCTATTTCGCACTTGCGCTTAGGGCTGAGTTTTATTAAGGAGCACGGGATGCGAGTTTAGAGGTTACCTTAACCCGGAATAACCTACAAGTACCTTTTTAAGGACTTATAGAAGGAAATCATAATAAGGAACCCTAGAAAGGTAGGTTATTCAGGGTTAAGATAGGGTTTAGGGCCCTGATCCCATATCCAAACAGGAGCTCATGCGCTGACCGGCTTCTGGAATTATCCGATAGTCTGCTTGGTCTGGATCGATTCTGAAGCCAAGGCCCGTTTACTGAGCTCCCAGCCAGACTCTCCCTTGTCCTTCTTCTTTTCCTGTCCGGACTGTGGGGCTTACCTGGACCCTAAGAAACCTAGCTTTTTAGGGCTCTTTAATTTGATTTCCTTATATAAGTCCTTAAAAAGGTAGGTTGTTTGGGGTTAAGGTAGGGTATGGAATTTAAGATTTTTGGGTTCGGGTGCTTGCTGAGAGCTAAGTATGGGGAACTCCTGCGTCGAAGCGAAGTTCTTTCAGGGCTTAGTTGCTTTGGGCTTACTGGTTTAGGATGGTCTACCCGGACCCCAAAGAACCTACCTTTTGTAGGACGTATAGAAGAAAATCATGAAATAGTGAGCCCTAAAAGCTTAGACCCGTAACCCTTAAAACGGTAGGTTTTGTAGGCTCCAGGTGGGGCTTAGGGCCACGGCAGGCGCCTTCTTCTTTTTGTCCTTCTTCCTCTTTCCCTGCGATGCGAAGGCTGGGGAAGAACGACAGGCCGATTCCCGGAAAGCCCTGGCTGCCAAGATAGGGGCCTTAGCAATTTGAGTAGGGTTTTGTCTACTAGGGAGCCCTAAGGAATAATATTGGTAATCATAGTACCTCTTTTTGCGGGTGTCAGGCACGAAGGCTGTGTTTCTCTCACAGGTTCGTGGCAAGTCAAGCGGCCAGCGGTCGCTTACAGCTCTTTTCAACACTGGAACATGTTGCTTGCCAGATTGCAAGTACGCGGTCATGTGACTCGAAGAACTCGGTGTCGAAGACTTTTCCAAAACCCATGCAAAGAAGAACGGGTGTAGGGTCTGAGCAAAAGCAGTATTCAAACAAGAGTTCGTTCACCCACAGCGCAACGGGTGTAACAGCCTTACACGGCGGTGCCACAGCAGCAGTCGTTGTCGTCGTCTTCTACCACCCTGAACCCTAAACTCTACACTATCCCGTCCGTTGTGGGAAAGGGACAGGGAAGTCGACACCCATGACCTTGAACCCTAAACACTGCACTGCATAAACCTTAGCAGCTGAATCCCAACAGTCCTGGCACCCGTATAAAACCCCCGGAGAACTTCAACTGTTGCAAATCAACTTGTGAGCTACCCCCACCTGAAACCCTTATGACACCCAGTAGAACTTGAACCCTTGTATACCAGTTTCCAAACTCCGAAAGAAGGCACAAGCGAGAGCTTGGCCTCATCCTCGCCTTCCTCGCCGTCACCTCGGAACCCGCCAGAAAGGACTTGCTGTCGGATGTAGTCTTTTGGGATTTGAGGGCTTTCGATTTTGGGAATTAGGGTTATGGTGGTTTTTAGTGTTCTGAGGTTTTCGGGATGTTTCAGTAATGGTGTCTCGGGGGTTGATGAAGGCGCCCATGCAAGTTTCATGTTGAGGTTAGAGATTGAAACACTTCACCCCCAAACCCAACATGGTTGGGAGTTGAGTGGTTTGACATTGGGGCCGAAGGTGACCACTCTTCTTGCGCACTGCAGAGCTGCAATCTAAAATCTCATGCCTGGAACTGCCACCCTAAACCCTACTTGGAGGTTCATGGGTAGTTGGGTAGTTATAAGTGGGGCTATAAGTAAGGTAACTATACTTATAACCCATATTAGGGGACTTATAACCCTACTTACAGCTAGCCAAGAACCTCCAAGTAAACCCCAGTGGGTCGGGCGGGCTTGGGTCTTGCCTTCGCGACTGCTTATCGGACTCTAGCACAGGACATGACCCAAAGACTCCAATATCCCTTAAATCATATAAGGGATCCTACTATAACTTAAGGTATATTCCTTCATTGAGGGGGAGTCTTTGGGGATGGACTCAAACTACTCAAGGCCACGAACTCTAAAGCCAACAAAAACCTAAAGCATTGAGGGGGAAGTCCACGCCCTGAACCCCAGGCCATGAACTCACATGACAATGACGAGGCCAGACAGTGCCTAATAAAAGCATGTAGGCAATTGTGCATCAAGCACTGGCACTGGCGATGCTACTGAAAAAGTTGCAACGCTACTTCTGCTACTTGTAGGATGAAAGACAGCGCCAACCATTTCAGCATGTGCAATTGACACGAGTTCGTAGGGAGCTACAACACGTGGCAGCTGTAGGACTAAGGCAAAATCTGGTCCTGGTAGGCTAGCATCACGATTGCATGTTCATGCGGTGAGACGGGGTGTGCGGAGATAGCTGTGGTGGCAGGACCAGTGCAAAGTACAGCAGCCAATATGCTTATAACGGCACGTCACACTGAAATGCGCATGAAGCGCCTGCATATGCATAGCTCATCTTCAATAGCAAATGTGTAGCGCTCGCAACTGAAACGGACATGAACGTCAACTGACAAGTCTAAGCAGCATCCCCCTCCCGGTGTAAAAAAAACTACAGATATCCTGCTAAGGGATGAGAAACATAACGACTACATAGCAAAAGACAGATTCCAGAGCAAAACCCAACTAACAAATTTGGTGCCGAGGTGCCCTTGCCCTTCTTCTTATCCTGGCAGCAAGTTGGTTGTGAGAGCCGGAGCTTAAGCCCTAAACCCTTCTGTGCGTAGGGACCGTAATAACAGTCAAAGGGTTTTGGGGTATAGTATACTATAACTATAATAATGAACCCGCAAAAACGATACAGGTAAGTATTAGGGCACCTATGTCATAGAACCCTATTTTAGATCCCTTTAAAGGAACACCTATTCTAATTATCAAGGCCCCGCCTTAAAGCCTAAACTCTACTTGCGGCTCCAGGGCTTATGCCTTCAGTCTGCTTCGGACCAACAGTTAGGGCCTTGAGATATGAGTAGTTCTCTAAATTAACCAGGGTTCCTTAACGGGATCTATAACAGGGTTCAATGATATAGAAGCCTGATGAATTACCATACCAATACTACTTTGGGGTTTCCTTAGGATAAACTAACTAGTATCATGGGCCTCGAAACCTTATTCTAAATAATTGTTAAGGTCTTTAGGGAAGTTCTCTAAATTAGGGTCCTTTTTCAAGTCCCCAAAATATAATACGGCACCTTGAGAAAGCAGGGTCCCTACAATGGGACCCTATTTAGAGAACTACCGAACTACCTATATGAAAGTCTGGATGTGTGCGGTATGGCCCTCTCAGCCATAATCACGGCCTTCACGCCAGTGTTCGAAGAGATATGACTTCAAAGGCAACAAAGCCTACGTCCGGAAAATAGCATATGTGTACATAAACGTATGTTAGCATACACACACAGACATACATACATACATACATACACACTTACGCGTTCTTTGCAGAGCTTAACTCTACAAACACCGTGCACTCATCGTCAAGAACCTGGGAACTGAGGTGCCGATAACAAGCCACAAGGCTTCGGGCTTGCTTGAATGCACCCGATGAAGAGCCTTAGCAGGGTTGCAGCATTAGGTCGGTCATGATATGCCAAATTCTGCCCTTGCAATCCCTACATGGAAGAGTTAGGTTTTCGGGTTCTCTTTTCAGACTTTAGGGGTCTAGGGTTACAACCTCGAAAACCCAGAACGCAGACTGCGGGGAGGTTGTAACCTAAGTTCTCAAATCGAATTTCAACTTCGACCTGCCATCAGTCAGATGCGCCTTCTTCTTCTTTTCCTTCTTTTTCTTCTTGTCGTCCTGTCAAAGCATCGCGACGTTTCGAACAGTTCCAGCCACATGCGAGCTTCACCAAAAATAACGATGTAGCCGATGGCCTCTTCCGGCTTTGGCTTCGGTGTCCTTGGGCAGAAATTGGAGGGTCGGGGGACTTAGTAACTGGTTACTTTAGGGACTTATACCATAACCCCAATTAGGGTTAGGGTCCCTTTTAGGGTGCTTATAAGTCTACTTACTACCTACTTACAAAGTCCCCCGACCCTCCAAGTAGTTAGGGTTTAGAGTCTAGAGCTTAAGGTTTTGTTTTTGAGTGCCTTTTTCCTCTCGGTTCGCTGCCGTCCCTGTCGGAAAGCCCTGAGGCTAGAGTTTTTTTGTTTAGGCTTTGAGGTTTAAGGCAAGAGGCTTGCACGGCTTAGAGGGTTCGCCCGAGAACGCTTTGAGCCCTAGCGGCCCTAGACAGCTTCGGGTTTAGGGTGAACCCTCAATCCCGCTAGCATTTCTTCAGGCCTAAATCACCCTAAACCCCAAACGCTGGGACCCCACAGCCCTACCAACCCTCAACTCCGAAACCCTCATGCATAAAGCCCGGACGCCCTCCCCTCGGTCCTAAATCCTGACCCTAAACCCGCCAACCCCAGAGCCTTAAAAGCTTAAAAACCTAAGCTCGCCGACCCGAGTGTCCGAAATCTGTGTAGTGTAGAGGCGTAAATGAGTAACAGTACCAATATTGTTCCTTAGGGTTCCGCAATAGTTCCAAAATCCCTACGCCGTCTATGATGGCCCTATACCCATTTAGTATAAAACCTGTAAAAGGAACCCTACCCTAATCATCAGGACTACCCGACTAGACTTCTCAGCCCAAGAGTTTCGACCTTGCATTGCATCGGCTCTGGGAGTCGGGGCTAAAGGTCCTCTCCCCTGCAACCCTAAAGCCCCACCACAACCCTAAAGCAACCCTAAAGCCCCACCACCCTAAACCGCCTAAAGCACAAAAACATGAAAAATCTCAGAAACGAACCGACTCCTGCGACTGACACCGAAATCCGAAATTCGACACCCCCCCCCCTTTGCACGCCGCATATTTCCGGCCGAGCATCTTGGAGGAAGGCCTGCCCGCTGATGTGTCCTGGGACTTGCACCAGGGTTTGGAATGGACTTGAGCTGATCCAAACAAGCCATTGGTCAGAAGCTGCCCCCACCCTGTAGTAGCGACTATAAGGATTATATTAGGGCCCTATTATATTCCTATTATACCACTATTACAGGGTGGGGGCCCCTTCTAAGCCATTGGCTTTTGGGATGACGGGTAGCAAAGGTGCAAGTCTTGGCAGGATCAAGGGCCTACTGCCTCCAGTTCGAGCCGAAAGCCCTCACGCTGCCACTGGATTTAGGGATTACTGCTTCGAGGGTCGGGGGACTTAGGGTAGTAGCTAGACTTATAAGTACCCTCAAAGGGACCCTAATTGGGGTTATGGCACTTATAAGTCCCTAAGATAACCAGTTACTAAGTCCCCCGACCCTCCAAGCATGCTTTCGTCTACTGTGTGAGTACGCTGGCTTTCCTGAGTGAGTGCACTCTACAGCAGAAACTGGACTGTCCTCGAATTCCCAAGCCCCCTAAGCCCAAACCCGAAACTCTAAACACCTGAACCTTAAAGCCCTAAGCCTAAAACCTACGCCAAACATATGGGTGGTTGTCAAAATTAGGGCCCCTTGTAAGGTCCTAAGTATAATACGGCACTTCATATTTAAGGTACCGAAAAAGGGGCCCTAATTTTGACAACCACCCACCCTAAACGCTAAACCCTAAACCCTAAACCCTACACCCTCAACCCTACACCCTAAACCCTACACCCTAAACCCACATTTTCTGCCATGGGTCAATGGCATCGGCGACCTGTGTGCCGGCCTGTTCAGCCGCCGCATCGCGGCCAGGCGAGGCCCGACGGTCCTGGCAGAGGCTTCAAGTTTCAGGTTTAAGGTTTCAGACTTCAGGTTTCAGGTTTAGGGTTTCAGGTTTAAGGTTTCAGAATTCAGGTTTCAGGTTTAGGGTTCAGGGCTTCAGGTTTAGGGTTTTGGGCTTAGGGTTTCGGGTATAGTGTCTTAGATGTAGGGTTTAGGGTTTCGGATTACCTACTCAGCCCGCTTAAAAGGCAGAAATGTGGCGCCACATCTTATCAGCCTTGCTTTGAGGGATCTGCGCCGGCCTTGAATCGAGCTGAGGACTTCTGCGATGCCAGGTTTAGGGCTTAGGAGTTGCAAAAAACCAAAAGTAGATCAACTAATGGTCCAACACCTACAAGAGGCAACAATTCTACATACCTCTGGAGTACTGTAAGGTTTAGGGATTCGGGTGTAAGGGTTTAGGGCTGCGCGTTTGGGGATTAGGAACTGACTCCATCCTCAATCAAAACGAGCAGCTCGGCAAGTCTGCTCAACCCTGAACCACAAGATAAACCCACAAGCCCTGAGACCTTAAGATGACTCAAAGCCCCGAAACTCTGCGCTGACACCCTAAACGGCAACCTAAACCCTCTCCTTCTTGCCGTCTTCGCTCGCCGACCGTGCTGGTGGCCGTGCCCGGGGCTTTGCACGTGTAGCGACCTACATATGGACTCAGGCTTTAGGCTTTGGGTCTCAGGCTCAGAGTGTAGGGTTTGCCTTAAACTTAAACCCTACACCCGAAACTCTCATCCCTAATCCCTAAACCCCACGTCCTGAACCCCAAACCCCAAATACTAAACCCCACACCCCAAATCCTAAACCCCAAATCCTTAGCCCTAAACCTCGAAGCCGAAACATGGCTGCAACTTTTCTGAACTTTTACCCCCCTAGCAACGAAGATCAGCTGTCTCTTAGGGATTATAGTAACCCAAAATTCAAAAATCAAGTCTAAGTTCCCCTTAGGCCCTAAACCCGGACCCCAAGTCCTAAACCCCCAAATCCTTAACCCTAAACCCCAAATCCTTAACCCTAGAGATTCTCGAACCCTAAACCCCGAACCCGAAGCACGGCTGCAAGCCTTGGGAAGGGAAAAGCTCCTGGAAGCCACCCGGATGTTGACATCCGGGCCCAACTTCGGATCGCGCTCCTTGAGGATCTTGCTGTAGGTCCTTGGCTTAGGGTTTAAGGTTTAGGGTGTGGCTTAGGGGTTTAGGGTTTAAGGGCTTAGGGTTGAGGGGCTTAAGGGTTTAGGGTTGAGGGGCTTAAGGGTTTAGGGTTGAAGGTAGGGTGGGGTTTGGCTTGGGCTTTAAGGTTCTTGGTTGTGGTTTGGGCTTTGGGGGTTGGGTTTGGGAGGTTACGACAGAATTCTTACAGATATCAACCCCGAAGCCAGGAACTGCTGGCAAACCTCAATTGAAAATTCCACTTCGTACTCGAGAACCCGAACTTTCTTCTGAGACTGCCGGACACATTGAAACGTGTCGGATTGCACATTCAGTGAGCCGATCGTTTGGGTTTTGATTTCTAATCTTTGGGACTTTGAGGGTTTCGCGATTTTGCGCTTCGGATCTGCAGAGGCTCAAGGTTTCAGAGTACTCAAAGTCGGGACTTTCCGACGACCCCCGAAAGCCTACTTGGAGGTTCATGGGAAGTGGGGTTATAAGTCTCCTAAAATGGGCTTTAACTATAGCCCTACTTATAATCCCCACTTATGACTACCCATGAACCTCCAAGTATCTCTTGATTGCTGCCCCCTTGGTTAAGCCCATGCCCTCGATCCCACCCTCTCTCAAGGCACTGAACCCCCGCGAGTCTAAGCGGTTCGAACCCAACAACAAACCCAGGCACCCCTACTTGGAGGGTCGGGGGACTTAGTAAGTAGGTAGCAAGTAGACTTATAAGCACCCTAGAAAGGACCCTATTTGGGGTTATGGCACCTATAAGTCCCTAAAATATTCAGTTACTAAGTCCCGACCCTCCAAGTAGAACACCTACCTGAGAGCAAAGCAGATCCCCAAAACCGAATCGCTCAACCCGAAACGCAAACCCTGCTACTCTGAACCCTGCGTCCCTGATCCTTAAACTCCAAACCCTACAACCCTGAACCCTGCAATGCCCTCCCAATCCATCCGACGAATACTTGCCCAGTCGCCGGACCCAGTCTGCCTTCTCGATAGAAGCATCCTGGAGAGTTAAGGGTTCAGGTGTATATGGATTAAGTGTTGAGGATATTGGGTGATACTATACTATGATATATTATAATATATAGTATGATGTACGAGAATATGTGGCATTTAGGGCTTTCGGCGTTTCAGATTTAGGCCGAAGCTCTCCTGTTTCTAGGCGTCGGGTTTCGAGTTTCCGATTGCCATCCCCTTTGCGGCCCCACGGCTTGGGCCACATTGAGCCAGAGGCTGATCCTTGATATGCGGCCTCACCGGCCTTACCAATCAAAATTGGATTCTGAACGATTCTGGGAAATATTCCACTGGAGTCGAGGTTCCTGAGTAGCCCCTTTATAATCCGAGGTTACCCTTTTTCCTACTATTTGGGTTTAAGAAGAGAAAAAGGGCAAAAGAGTACACTCAGGAACCTAGGAGTTCCATCACTGTCCACTCCGTGGTGCCTCAACAACCCGAGCCCGAACCCTAAAAGCTACGGAAACCTGGTCCCTACCCCTAAACCCTAAACCGGAAAGCAGAAACCTTGCAATGAACCCAATCTCTCCAGATGAACCTGACACCCAACAGCATCAACCTTTTGAGGGGTAGCCAGCATTTCGGGCCATCGGGGCTTCTGGGGTGCCTTCGGTGTATCTTGGGAGGGGGGGGGGGACTTTGGCTTAAGAGTTTGAGGGCTTCAGGGTTGCAGACATGGGCGATACCCGGCGAGAAGGATTTCAGTCCCACGTTGTCCCGTTAAGTTACCTCTATACGAGACCCCCTAAAGTGGAAAACAACTCATGCTCTAAGGGGCTGAGCACGCTAGCCCAGAACAGGTTAACCTTTCCACTTCTGGTAGGATCATATTAATCCCCAAAGGTTATATGAAGATTACCTACTCAGCTGCTAAGTGCTTGCCGGCGGTGTCCAGCATCTTCGCTGCGCACCAGGCAGGCGACGTCTTGTCCATGGTCTGCATGGGCATTAATTGGAGGCATCAGGACCGTCTTGCGCTTGCAGATTTCAGGCCCTAGGTTGATGGGCTGAGCTCTTGGGGTGGGCCAGGGATTCTTCCAGCACAAGATCGTTTCGAGATAAGTTAGGGCTTAGGGGTTCATTCATGACACGATTTCCGCCGTAAGTGGGCTCGGTACAGGTTTTGCACCGGGCCTGCAGCCCTGTTTAGACGTGAGCATGGCGTAGCCCCGAAATCCTAAACCTCAAAAGCCCCACACACTACGTATACCTAATGGACCCCAAAGTCCCCAAAGTTAAAGTCTTGTTAAACCTTAGAGCCCCGAAGCCATGTTCCGCAGAATTTGGCTCCCACTGTCAGCTGAGAGCTAAGCACCTTAAACGAAGCATCATCATGAGTTCACTTATGGGAATTCACAAAAGAGTTTCCTACGCAGACAAACTCATCGTGAGCTACCCCATTAAGAGCCTCTATTTATACAAACCCAAGGGCGAAAGAAAAAGTGTAGACCCGCTGACTGCCTGGCGTCACTTGACAGAGCGATCAAAACAAATGAACGAAGTTAGCAGTTATACACTGCGCTCATTTGCTCTGTTCGTCTCGGCCTCTGTGACTCTGTAGGGTGGGCCCACAGTCACGGTGCCATGCCTGCGAACGAAGCGCTTGACATTTGCGGTCACAGTGTTACAAAAGCAAAGTCGCGGTCCTACCCTGATTCTGTACGAGGGCCTGGATCTCTGCAAGACATTCCGATGTTCATGCGGCTTTTCCGCAACCCGCAATGCATTCAAATGCTTACTGGTGGAACTCATGGCGCAGTCAGCTTTTATATCATGGATACTGATACTGTGACTGGTAGAAGCAGTGTAGCTCCTACTCTTCACACCCCGGCGGTTGCCCTTTCGAGCCGCGAAGCTGGTTGCAAACTGTAACGTTCTAGCGTCCAAAGCTAGAACCCCTGAAACCGTAAACCTTTCGAAGGCCATCTGCTGTATCAGGGCTAACTGCAGAGATTCTGCCAGGGTTACTCTATTCTGTAGAAGGCTTGCAGGAACGGCCATGGAAAGAAATGACGTGATCGGGGGTTCGCTGCAACAGCTCAGAGCGAAGCCTAAATCTGCCCCCAGTAATGCAAAAAACAAAGCCCTGTCGACCCATCGAACTGATCTCTCAATTAAGGGCTCTAATTACTTGGGCTCTATGAAAGCTTCATAGGGGTTGGATCTGATCAAGCCGGGGTGCTACGCTCCACACCTGCTATGACCTCTCATCCGGGGGGTCAAACCACGAACGTGGACCACTTGCGACCCCTAATAATATAGGGGAAATATACGATACTTATAATAAGGAATCCCAAAATATCCTCAAGCCCAAAGTGTATCCATGGAAACACGGAGCCCTCATCCGCACCCCATGTGCTCCAAACCCTCAAAGCCCCCCTCCTGTATGCGTGGCGCACGAAGCAGGGTGTGTGGAGGTCATCCGTCGCCGGCTTGCCAACAAGCTGAGGCAGCCTGGACGATTTCTCAAAAATTTAGCAGTTGAATCGTCTAAAGATAGAAATCTTGAAACTGGGGCACCTAAGGCGATCTCAGGGCTCAGGTCTTAAGTTTCAGTGCTTTAAGCATCAACCCGGCTCGGCGGTTTAGGGGCCCAAAACCGAAACTACCAGGAGCCATAGGCTGCGAGCCATGCCTCAAGGTTAATGCTTCTAGCTGGTGTTTCCGGATGTGCTATACCCAGACAAGACACCAGCAATCACGGAGCAACACGGGTGGTTCTCAAAATTATGGTATCTTTTTGGGTCCCTAATATAATACCGCACCTATTCTTTAGGGTGCCTAAAAACGGAGCCCCTATTTTGACAACTACCCACATGCTAGTGCTCGTGACTGCTGGTGCCAGGTGCCTCGGATTGTCCTTCCATCTCGGTCGCAGTCCGGTTCCGTTCATGCCTGCAGGCAGGTTCGTGGTCTGAGTTTACGGTTTAGGATTGGGAAGTTGGGGTTTAGGATTCAATGGTTACGACCCCCAATTACCCTCTATTCTACCGGAAACAACACCCACTATTAAGGGCCATACGGGCTCTGTTGAAGGGCACTTGGGGGGGGCCTGGTAGGTTCGGGGATCGTGGCTGGAAGACTCGTGAGCTGAGGTCGTGGACGCAAGCATGCTTGGAGGTTTATGGGTAGTTATAAGGGTTCCTTTAAGGGTCCCTTTCAAGGGATCTATAGGGATTCTAGAAGGATATAGGGTTTAGGGCCTGCTTGGAGGTTTATGGATAGTTTTAAGTGGTGTTACAAGTAGTGTAACCACAGACAATTATAACCCGTATCATCAGGGGACCTTAGACCACTTATCACTACCCATGTTGCTCACTTGGAAATGGAAGGACGCCGGCTCCTACGAACCTCCAAGTAGCCCGAGGAGTGTCTGAAACAGTACAAGCGGCCATCATTCGTGTGTACCGAACTGTTCCAAAGCCCGAAAAGGGGCCGACTTCACCTGAATCTCTAGGCCCTCAACCCTAAACCTTAGAGGATCCAGCCATCTGCACTCAAACAGACCGAGGCCGTGAGACTGGCAGTCTTAATCAGTCAAGAAAGGTCAGGGAAGACGGTTCTGCAGAGTCCTACAGCTCTTCTTTGGTTTGAGATTCAGTGTGTAGGGTTTAAGTTTTGCAGCCAAGCGCAAATCCCTGAAAGCGATAGGCTTACGGTCATGCGAGGATTCTATGATGGGTTTAAGCATTTAGCAAGTTAGATTTGGGGGTGCCTGTGGGTTTAGGGTTAAGGGGAGGGTTCTAGCAAGTCCCCCAAACTCGGTGAACGATCCAGGCAAGAATCACATCCGTGCACCCGAAGCCACACTCAAAGGAAAACCTAGCATCCGAATGCGACCCTTGTAGAATTTATTGAAGCCCTCATAAATACAAACATAGTCTAGTCTGCCCTAGTCCACTATGTTATTCAGACTGGACTAGGGCAGACTAGACTATGTTTGTTAGTAGACTAAAGTACAATGTAGGGGAATACAGCATAATTAGGACGGTGGCACGGCCGGGCCTCCATGCATGCCAGCCCAGCAGAACTGCGTGCCAAAGCTGTCGCCAAAGTCGCCCAGCTTGTCTGTTAGATCCTAGAAGAAGTTGGATCAGGCTTCAGTTCCGGGCCTTATAGGGTTTATAGCCTTCAGGCTTTAGGCTTAAGGGTTTAATTTTTGGGCGTTGGGCTTTGCTGCATATGGGTGGGCTAGCAGTGGCCACCCATGCAGGAAGTGCGACATGTCAACCTTTCGACGGCCAAAACGCAAAATGGCGCTCTTATGCTCAACGACCCGGTGACAAGCAACACCCTGTTTGGAAATTCATGGATAGATACAAGTGAATAAGTGGGGTTGCCTGAAATCCATGTAACCTTCATGACTCCGACAAGCTGCTCCAACACTCATCACTGAGCCATCCCATACATCCAAACCCCAGCGGCCCTGAACCGACTAGTTTACCTAGGGTTCCCGAACCAGAACAGCGGGTCCTTGCCACCGTCCGCGTGGCCCTTGTCTACCTGCACCACACTTAGTAGATGAAACCGAACTGAGGCCGTTCAGAGCGGCTCTTCAGCATCCTTTCTCAGCATTCCCTGATCTTTACGCTACAGACTTAGGGGCTGAGTATCCTAGCCTAGCCCTAAAAAGGATAAGCTTTTCAACTATGGCAGGGTTATATGAACCTCAAAAGGTTCAAGGTAACCTGCTCAGCTACGAAGTAGAGAACCACGAAACCCTAGTCTGCCTGTTTGGGAGTTTCCGAAAATAGGGGACCCTAATATAGTACCCTAAGTAGTATGATCTTTGTTATAAAGACCCCAAAATAAGGTACCCCTAATTTTCGGAAACTCCCATTTAGCCCTGCCTTTGAGGATTGTGGAGCTTTGCTTTCGAGGCGACGGGTTGAGTTTGTCATGCTCCCACAATGCCTGAATCCTAAACGCGAAGGTGCAGAGTTCAAACCCTGCAACCTAAATCCTAAAGGCCTTCTGGGACTCTGAAACCTTTGGGAGACTCCAAAAGAAGCAATCGACAAGATGCCCTAAGTTATGGATCCATCCTTAGTACGAAAGCTCTAACGGAATCTGACACACATTCCTCTGAACCCGAAAACCCTAAACCCCAAACCATCGAACCCCAATACCCCAAGACCATCAGCCCTAATACCCCGAACGCTATCACAAACGCCCACACCCCCAAACCAAGAAAGATCCACCTGGCGCTTTGGCGAACGACCTGGACGGCACACTCCAAACCTAAGGGGCTTCTCTTAACTAAGGGTCCTCCATAGGTTCGTTGAGGAGGGCTCTATAGGAGTTGGCTTCTACTAGTATTTCCCACTATGTGCGTATAAGAAAGCCTCCGCGACCGGCATATTGCGGTTGTCTACTTGGAGGGTCGGGGGACTTAGTAACTGGTTATTTTGGGGACTTATAAGTACCATAACCCCAATTAGGGTTCCCTTTTAGGGTACTTATAAGTCTACTTACTACCTACTTACTAAGTCCCCCGACCCTCCCAGTAGGCTAGCATAGGTCCCTCGATCCTGTAAACTTCTGATAATTTCAACTTCCATGGTTTGCTCCTATCAGGGCTTGGGTTCGAAGGTATCGGGTTGACTCCTCGGCCAAAACCGAAACCCTGAACCCTAAACCCTAAGCTTTGATCCCGAAACCACTCCGGCATGGAACTCCCAACCCTAAACCATGAAACCGTAGAACCGCCTCACCGAGAAACCCTAAAGCTTGAATCCTGGAAGCCCAAACCCACAGTCCTTTGTTGCGAGGCTTCTTCGGAGGTCTTTGAGAGGAGGCTTCGGAAATGATCTTAACGGCCCTCCAAAGAGATTTCTGCATCCAAAATCTAACGAGAGACAGGAAGAAAGAGAGAGAGAGAGAGAGAGACAGAGAGAAAACAAAGATGAAGTGGACGAGGGAGAGGGAGAGCGAGCTACAACAAGCTGAATAAGTTGTCACATGCTAGCCTGCTCGTTTGGGCGATGCTCGCGATTTTGGCGTGGCGGTCTCCTGGATCAGAGCTGACAGGTTCTGTTCCACTGAGCACCATCCAGGGTAATCTAGGTGCCTTGATGACTGGAATGAGGTTTTGGGCCATATTTGATTATGCTATGCTGCTATGATCTTGGCAAAATCAGAAACACACGGCCCACCACCGCGTCCGTGTGCACCTAGTCCTTGCCAAGAAATCTTCCCAAAACCCGTGCTAACCCACTTTCGGTCACCGTTCGAAGCTAGACCAAAACAAACAAGCGTCAGTCTTCTACATAAGCATTCCTTGAACAGCCTGTCGAAACCAGCGATGTTGCACCAAAGAGGCACACGAACAGCAACAACGTCATAGATAGTACACCTGGGCCCTCAAATCTTGCTCCCTTTGTTGCTTCTTACCTTAGCATTCTAAGATTCTATGCATAAACTAGGCTGTCCAAAACAAACCCAAAGCCTAAACCCCGAAATCCCAAACCCCCTCAACCCAAACCCTAAAACCACCCAAAATCCCCAAGCCTCTCCTTCCCAGGTACGGAACCCTAAACTCTAAAGGGTACCCTTAAAAAGCAAAAAACTCTCAACAAAAACCTGAAGCCTCTCCCTCTGCAGTTTTGTTCTAAAGCCCGAAGCCTTTCCTTCCCAGGCACCCTAAACCCCGAAACCCTAAAACCACCAACCGAAAAGACACCAAAGCCTCTCCTTCCCGGGTACCACAACCTCATCCTCCGCATCGGCGGAGCCCATGACAGGAGGGGGAGCCTCGACCTGCGATTCTGCCATGCTTGGAAAGTTTTTTTTGGGGGCCGTAATACTGGAAAAGGATTTGAGGGGTCTGTTCTACTAGAATGCAAGTATAGGAACTATGGGGGAATACGAAGAGTGAGTGGTGCGATCCGCCTTTCTCAGGGATGTAAAGCTTCAGGCATCCAGAGGTCCAGGCTTAAAGGTTTTGGCTTTGGGTTTGGGAACCTTCAGCCGGACTTAGAATTCTTGGGACTTTAAGGATCCAAAACTAGGTTCCAGTCCTTTTCGGGTTTCTGTGAGGGTTCTTCGAAGGTTTTGCTGGAAAGCCTGTCAAACCCATGAAGGCTTCGCCCAATCTGTGGTCGAACATGCCTTTAGCTGGTGTGAGGGTTGGAAGCACCGCTGAATGGTTTGGAAGTCATGTTTGCATGCAGAGACTAGCCTGCTTCGTTTTCTGAGCGCACTTACCCTTTTAGCAACGAAAACCCTAGCGGCATGAGTCGGTGCATATCTACATGCTATGCTGAGAACAGGTACTGCAACAATCTGTGCCCAAACTGTGGTAGCCGCAGAAGTGCATCGCCGTTTAATTTGACTGTGGGAGCCAGAAAGTTGGAACGTGTTTGTCCTCATGCCTGTGAGCAGCGTATATCCCAGCACTAATCATCCCTTACCCATGTTCCAACTTTCTGGGTCTCTCTTTAAGGGATTTGATTTAAGTTACCACACTAAGGAAACCCTATGATTATCTGTAATGGCAACTTAAATTGAAATTCCCTAACAAGGACCCAGGCTCTCGATGCCTTTTCGGTTTAGGCTTAGGGGGGGTTGGGTTGCCGAAGTGCCTCCGGCGTCTCGGAGGTTCGTCTGGCACCATCCTTGGCCTTGGCTTTCGCCTGCCACAAACTGAAAACCCCTAAAACGTAACCCCCTAATCCCATACTGTAAACCCTAGACCCCTAAACCCGGGAAGTCGGAAGATTTGGGTGAGTTCTATTGGGGATATTGCTAGTTCCCGTCATCTTTCACCATAGTTCTGCTCCCCGGATGGTAGATTCTTGATGGAGTTCTTAACCCCAGCCCTGGCTGATGAGGCGGCTGCACTCTCTAAGTAGCAAGTAGTACTGTTAATGATATAGATCCTGCATTGCCTTAAGGACCCTAAACTATGGGAATTATGGTATATTCCTTATTATGAGTAATGCAGGATTTATATCATCAACCGTAGGATCCTTTTGGGGCTATGGGGTTTCCAACTTTTTGGCTTCTACTGTAGTAGGATCCTTTTGTGAAGCAGCGCCTCTCCAAACTTTCCGAGCTTGGCCTAACCTGCAGAATTTGCCGAATCCCTCCACAGAAGAGTTGGCCCTGAAATTTGCAAAAACCCATCCGAGCCGGGTTCAGAATGAAGCTTAGGCTCCACTCACAAGCAGATTCCAAATCCCAACCCGACACCCTGAATCCTGAACCAGTAGAGCCCTAAACCCTGAGCCATGTAGAAGCCCTCTCGCAACATCTTTCGAGGCCCAACAACGCAAACGGCGCTTGGTCAGTGCATGGTCGACGCAGCGGAGGTACTTTGCCTCTGAGTGCCGGTAGGCTGCCTTGGTAGGAGCGTCTACAGCCTAGGGTGTTGGAGTAAGGGTATGGATCTACATAAACCTATGAGAGCAGAGCCAGTGGCTCCAGCTGGAAGAAACAACATAAAGAGCTCTGTGTTTAAGCGTTCTCAATAGGACCTCACTATTTGGGGGATACAGAAGCAAAGCAAACAGTGACCACATGAGGGTATGTCGAGCTTAATTTTGGAGATTCCTTCTGCCGGGCCTGGCCATACCCTACATCATAAAAACTAACCCCAAATCTGAAGACTAAACCCAAACTCCGATACACTGAACATCACTGAACTTTAAGCCCTGAGACTTGTGCCCTTAAGGCTAGTGCTCGGTGTGTTCCGAACTTCGGTTTCAGAAGCCGGACCTGCCTGAATCACAACCGTAGACACCCCAAACCCTCAATGCAGAACCGTCGAAGCCTTGGGCTGCAGCCCCCACAAACCGCCCTAAACCTTCGGACCCCGAGCCCTAAAGACCTCAGCTCCTGGGTATTAGAGGCTGATATTCTGAAACCCTGGGATACGAAAACGAACGCATTCCGGCCCTTTCACGGTTCAGGGTTTAGGACCGGTTCAGAGTGTAAAGCAGTCACGCCTGTCAGGAAAGTTAAGAGCGCTGCGGCAGCGGTGAAAGGGCTCAAGCACGTGGTAGGATCAAAATTAGTCATATCCCCCTTCAGCACCTGTGTGTGTGTATATATATATATAGAGTATTGCAAAATACCCGGAGAACCCGGTCTAACTGTTAAGGCAACAGGGCTTGGGGTTAGTTCAGTCGTCCCGTTCTCCCGGCGACGGCCCCTTTCAAACCCTAAGCTGCAAAAACCTAAATTCAGTGCAGCCGGTTTAGGGTTTAGGGCCTAGGGCTCAACCCCTCCATTTATGAAACCGATGCCTACGGCTACCGAGCTGGGCCACGACTTGTCTCAGTCGCAACTCGCTGGAGGCCGTCGCTGACATGCATGAGGAGACCTCTTCTGCTTCACTGCTTCCCGCAGTTTGGGACCGTTCTTGAAGGCCCATGGGTAACTACAAGTGGGACTTTGCGCACCTTATGTATATACTTAAACAATACGGGTTGACCCTATCTACTATGCTCCCCGTCCTGTAGCGCACAACACAAATCCCAAAGACGAGGCTTTAGGGTTCCGACTTGAGACCATGGTAGCGCGTCAGGGGCAAATCCAGCAGAACAATGATGGGAAGCGTCATTTTTATTTCGGGAGAGGGTGTCGTGGCAGTGTAGGTGAAGTAGTAGTTAGAGAGGCAGAAGTGATGGTGGTGGTGGTAGTAGTAGCAGAAGTAGTAGTGGTGGTAGTAGTAGTAGTAGTAGTAGTAGTAGTAGTAGTAGTAACAATAAAGTTTTCATAGCGGCAGCAGCAGCCGTAGCAGCAGCAGCAGCAGCAGCAGCAGTAGTAGTAGTAGTAGTAGTAGTAGCAGTAGTAGCAGTAGTAGTAGTAGTAGTAGTAGTAGTAGTAGTAGTAGTAGTAGTAGTAGTAGTAGTAGTAGTAGTAGTACTAGTAGCAGTAATGATAATAATAATAGTCGTCGTTGTCATCGTCGTAGCAGAAGTGCTACTGCTACCACTACTACTACGACTGCTAATCAGAATAACAGGAATGATAATTCTAAAGGCCATCAGTACTTTTGATGAAGAAGACACGCATAGTTTCAATCACAGCAAGGATAATAATCATAACAGCAACAATAATACTAATTGTAGTTGTACATTGACAACAGCATTGATAATAAGAGTAAGATTATAAGCAGTAACACGCAACGAACTGTAATCATCATACATGGTAAATACTATAGATAACGAGCTCTCCGCAGACACACGCCCCTCTAAGACTCTTTCACGGCTGTCCGGGGATCCCTTGTGTCAGGCCTTCCCTTCCAAGCGCTTCGCCGCGTGCCGAAGGGCGGCACATGCCAGGCGGTACACTGAGGAGATGGCCCTTGTGCCTGGGACCCAAATTCGTCGTATCATTCACTATAAAGGGGGCTATACGCATGAAGGGCTCATGAAGATACTTTCTTACTTCAGGCTTTGTGATCGGAGTTCGGGTTCTGGTTGTGTCGGGATGGAGACTGTGTCTGGAAGTCAGTCAAGCCATCCTTAACACCTATACTGAACTTAGAACCCTAGCAAAAATCAAAATTTTAGCTGTTTCTTAGGGATTATAAGAACCAAAAATTGAAAATTATTTCTAAGTACCCCTAAGACACGGTATCATATCGAGCTGGAAATCTTTTGGGTCACGAAGCGCACACAAACCCACCACTAGAAACACTAAATGCGTCTTGTGGGCACCATCACGGTCCTTAATGGGAAACCACAGAATCCATGTAGCTGTGTGTTTGAGCCCCTGTCCTCAACATAACCTTAACTGTGACGCCTGCTCGCCGTCGCAGGTTCTGACGAACACCGGCACGCGCCGCCCGACCGCGCCGCATGGATGCCAGCAGTGCCCGAGCGGCCCTAGTGTCCTTCAAAACATCATTAGCGGCTGTGGGTTTCGCTTGGGGGTGTTTCTGGTATTTTAGTATAGTCTAGGGTTTTAGGGTTTGTAAGGTTCAGGTGTAGAAGGTGGGGTGACGGTTGGAAGCAAAAACACTGGGACCGTACAAGACCTGGGAAAGATGCACACATACGGGGGAGTTCTTGAACTTATCTGTATACTTGGAGGGTCGGGGGACTTAGTAAGTAGGTAGTAAGTAGACTTATAAGTACCCTAAAACGGACCCTAATCGGGGTTTGGCACTCATAAGTCCCTAAAATAACCAGTTACTAAGTCCCCCGACCCTCCAAGTACTGACGATACAATCACGTAAAATGAAGATGCAGTGTCTGTAACCACACACGGCCGCATGCCTCCGACCATCGCCACCCAACAGCCATATCAACCTCCAGAGCCATATCTGATATAGCTCCCATGAATCCTACAATCCTCCAGCCCCTCCCAACTCCACCCATGAGAAAAGCCAAGAAGCCCCTTTGCTATGCCCCTTTCATTCAGTCTGACATGGACAATGACAGCAACCGAGAACGGTGTAGATGCTGGAAACTTCAAGCACCCTTAGCCCGAAGCCCTGGCAAGCTTGCTCCAAGCACCTTGGCGAGTCTTTGTTCACGGCTGCGGGGTTGGTCCAGAAGCAGCTCCGCCAGCTTGATCACATTGTAGTCGTGCGGATTTTCCGCACCTTGCATGGGGAGGCTGGCTGGTTAACGGCCGCTAGATTCTACCTCGCTTTACTCCACTCAGTCGAGCCGACAGTTGCTAATGATCTGCTAATGCACGGTCTACAAACTGCTTGAAAAGGCAACGGTCAGAGTTTAGGACGGTTGAGGGTTCACGGGCGACACCACCGCTAAGATGACAGCCATTTGTGCAGCTCACTTGGCTTGTAGTCCTGCAGGACACCGGAGGAAATGATGAAACTCGTGCGTGTCTAGCCTAAAACCCTAAACTCTAAACCCCAACCCTAAACTCTAAGCCCGTCTATACCCTAAGGCTCTACGGGTTTTGGGGCCCAAGGCCCGGCCATGTACACCTGTTCATAGACTTTGGGTTTAGGGCCGTTTCAAAAATAGCAGGGTTGAGGGTATAGGATTTAGGGTCCAGGGATGTTTTGGGGCTGTAAAGGACCCAGGGTTTATGGCTTACTGTCTGGTTCTTAGTAGGGAGTGGGGGAATGGATCCCTATTGTCTTCCCTAAAAAACCCCTAGTAGTAGTATCCATCCATAATCCATTGCCCCCCATTCCCTACTAAGAACCAGACAGACTTTGGGTTTAGGGCCGTTTCAATAATAGCAGCGATAAGCACAACAGCATATTGAACATGAGCAATATCTGTACACCACATCTGTTTACTGTTTCGTAGTCCTCATACGGAAACACAACGTACTATAGGCATGTTTCTATATGATTCAAACATTGGTAAAACCTTTATATCGACATTTCTGTTCATTTTGTAGTCACGAACTCAGCCCTAGTAGATGTAGCCCTAAAACCTAAACTCATCAAGCCCAAAGACTTTTCAGTCGTCATCGGAGGAAAAACGTTCAGCTTAGGCCCCGGCCCACGAAGCCGAAGGATGCAAAGAGCCTACCCGAGGACAAGGGCCCGTACCTGGGGAGCTTTAAAGTCTGGAGTTCGACCATTGAAACACATCATCATCGCCATCCTCATGGTCATACTCATCCTCCTTCTCCTCCTAATCACCCTCAATATCCCCCCTCATCATCATTATTATCATCGCCATTATGTCCCCTGAAC